CTTATGCTATAACAGCCGTCAACTTCCCAATTAAAACACTACTAGCCTAGAATGGAAGATTTGATCAACAGTTTTGTCTTTCTTAAATTTTTCCTATCTTATTCCTCCTTGTATTATAACAAATATTTTAAAATTGAATGCTGCTTTCCTTGAAAAGATTCCCCCTAGCCCCAATTTGAAATTGAAAATAAATAACAACCAATAAACATGCTGTAGATTAATTTTATTTTGCATGTCTTTGTTTGTATTCGCTTTCAATCTTTGTTGTATAGTCAAACAAAACAGAAACTGTAACTTTTATGTAAAGTAAAACATTCATGTTCATGAAACACAAATATTGTACTTATTAAGTTAAGGTGGCTAAGTTAAGGGTTGTTATCATAAGTAATCTGCAATATATTTAACTCGTTCACCTCTGAAATTTTATAATGAACTATTCTAACCATTGAATTGGAAGAGTTCAAATATGTCTTTAGGTGTGAATGAGCTAATGGTTATTATTGAAAGAAACGAGGGAAAATTTATTAAACAGACTGATGCGTGTAGTATTTTCTCAATCCTTGTTCATATAAATAGCATCTCCAGAATTATGCATCATGAACCATCATTCTTATCCACAGTGTGTTTGTTGTAGGTTTGCGCCGAGAGAAAATGATCAACATTGCCTTGCTGTGTGGCAGTGACTACACCTTGGGAGTACAGAGGGTTGGTCCTGTGTTTGCTCCGGAGATCATGGCAGAGTTTCAAGGGGGAAAGAATCCAGGACCTGTTGACTTCAAGTAAAGCAAATATTTCTTTACATTTGAATAGTATTCAAAAACCGGGTTAACTTGTATTTGTAGCCTTCAATCCTGAGAAAATAATTATGTATGGTGGTGGTCACCAGATAGGCTCATTGACCTCATTTATTACTTCTGTAGCTTTTCATGCACCAGCCCATTTGTGAAAGCAAGAATCCTCAATAGTTAAGTGATGTGATTATTAGGGGTTGGCAATAATTTTGTAGTTCCAAAATATTGCAATATTTGTCTAGCAATATATATATTAAAACATTATTTTGAAATGGCAATATATTGTCATGTGTTTTCAATTAATTGTTTGGAGGTTTTAACAAAATCATGACATGATTGTACCGAAATGATATTAAGATTAAATCAGTTTTATCCAAATGCAGTATATATATATATTGAAATAAGTGGTTAAGGTGTCTGAAATTCTGCTACCACTGAGACGCGGGTTCGAGGCCTACGTTGGGCAGTCGCCAGGTACTGGCAAAAGGTCGGTGGTTTTTCTCCGGGAACTCCGGCTTTCCTCCAACACCAAAACCTGACACGTCCTTAAATGACCATAGCTGTTAATAGAACGTAAAACACAAACGAACACAGTTTGATGCCCGTTCGCGAACCAATCATAAATATATGCTCGAGAAACCATTGTGTTGGTACTAGAAGTCAGGGATAAAGGTCAAAACGAGGTCACTGTGATCACAGGGTTTGTCACATGACTTAATGCGATATACCTTTCTACAAAAAGTTTGATGCCCATTTATGAGACAGTGGCTGACATGCCCATACTTATATGCTCCGGAAACCACAGCACGGATAAAGTGAATGCTATACACCCCCAACTTAAGTCGAACCACGGGTATATTATACACTTGTTGCTCTTTTGGCGGGGAAATATGATTCTCCCCCCCCCCTCGATTAGATTATTTAAGACATATAAGAACCTTAAAGGTGATAAAAACCCAATTTCATTTTCACATATTTTGCCTTTTTTCGGGGGCATTATTCATTAAATATCCCTTCCGTAACATGAAAAATAATTGAAAACACAAAAGTTGCGAAAATCAGCAAATTTTGTAACCGGTATTGAAAATCTCAAATACAAGTTAGCACGAGTTATCGTTCGTTAAACTGGAAGAGCTGTGACGTCATTTGCGACGACCGTCTGTCACAACAACTACCGAACTAGTTGGTACCGGGGCTATGGATTCCGTGAATTTTAGTGACAACGAGGATATTCCAGAAGTTTCCTTCAACCTGGTCTTTCAGTCTTACCTGTATGAGCCAGACTGAACCGATTTAGAGGTTATAAGTGAATATGAATCGTCTGAGTTGGATGTTAGTGACGACGAACAGGGTCAGGAAACTGGCAGTATAGCTTGCGTCAATGCAGATTTTACACCAGAATGGTTCGTTTAAGCTCGATTGTTCAATCCTTGGTACCAATTTATCCTAAAATACAACTTTTTAAATTGTAATTAGGTTTTATATATACTTTTAAGCCGACTTAAATATAAAACAGTCTGGACACGGAATTAGATTATCTAAGTCCGTGGTCTGGAGCATGTTAAATATCCTCGGGTTACCGGTTTCCGCGCACTAAAGAAGCATCCGCGATTTCGTACTCATATCGGCAGAAAACTGTTGAAATGACGGATTACTGTCATAAACATGTATACAATCTACTAATGGAAACAAAAAACTAGCAACATAAAACTATATTTAAAAAAAATCAGAACAAACAATTTTTAACAAATTTATTTCTCCCGTCGGAAGTAGCCGTCATGTTTCCGTGTGTCTATTTTGACTAAGTGTTCAAAAAAAGATAACTCGAATACACTAAAAAGAAATTCTCTACAGTGACCTGCAAGAACAAAAGCCTCGTTTGAAATAATAAAAACATACCTTTGATCGTCAAATTAATTATCAAAACCTTTTTACTTAAATTTCACATTTTTAATAGATTTTTCAAGATGTCAAATTGAACGAATTCATGTAATTTTTTAAATTTATTTATTATATTTATTTAGTTATAATATAGAATCTGGTATTTTTTTTCTGCAGTCTTATATCGGTTTTGGTTGATGGTAAGTTATTTCTCATTTTGTTCTGTTTAAAATTGTTGAAAATTGGAAGTTCATTGCATTACAAGGTTTACGTTTCATTGAAACTACAGTTTATCGATATAAGAATGTCTCATTGGCTCTTCGGAAGTGGAAAAAAATCGGCGAGGAGATGTGGCTTCATTTGCATACGACATTTTCGTACGTTTGTCAGACTACAAAAAAGACCGGTTCATGAATGAAATATATCACTGTTTTTTCAGGTATGGCCTCATTTTGAGCAAGATAAAAAGTGCATTAAGCAAAACTGCATATTTATGCGTGTTTTTTAATCAGTGATTAATTCTTGTTTTCCAAACGAACTTCCGGTAATTTTTGTGTCAGTTAACAGACGATGGCCAAACGTCTAAAATATCCTTGTGTTGTGTCCAGCAGGTCACGTAGTTACGAGATATAGCTTGATAAAATGGCTGCGCGGAAATACATAACGCGCGGAAACTGGTGATTAGACGATATCTGATATCCCTGTGATGGAAGGCCTAGTGTACGGTTAAACGATTAACAGGAACGGGCAGAAATGGGCAGAAACGGGCAGGAACGGGCAGAAATCTATTAATTATTATATACATTAATGAATATATATATTAGATACATTAAAGTATCATTATCGGGTATAAGATATATTTGATAAAAGGATTGCAATTACATGATCGGGGCAGAATCGGACTAAATTATATATATACATTTATGTCGATACCTACATTATAGTATCATATATTTGTTATCGGGTATAAGATATATGATAAAAGAATTGCAAGGAATTAAGAGTATTGTATTGATATGGATCGGGCAGGAACGGGCGACGATTTACAGGAACGGACAGAAACGGGGGACGATTTACAGGAACGGACAGAAACGGGCGACGATTTACAGGATCGGACAGAAACGGGCGACGATTTGCAGGAACGGACAGAAACGGGGCAGGATCTGTCTTATTTATGTATATTTGATTATCCTTAGCGGGTATAAGGTATATTTGATAAAAGAATGGCAATTACATGATCGGAGCAGAATCGGACTCGGATTTAATATCAGACTTTTAGGTTCAAAGCCTATCGACGACATCAATCGTGGATCTCTCACGAAGCTGCCTGGTTTAAAATGGTTTTGACAGAGTCTCGTGTGTGAGGTTGGAGAAAATCCCTTTCTCTTTTCCTTAATTGTCCATGTTTTCCGCAGCTTTTTGTCCTTTGGGAACAGGAACATACTGATTTTCTCTCCATTATTGGAATTACTGTCACAGTTCAGCGCAGCACAGTGTACCATGTTTGTTTACGTTTTACTGACAGCTGGCGCGCTTTCCGGTCGTCTCAAATGACGTCACAGCCAAAGGGAAGTAACTGCGTACATACTCTGTGCTTCCAAAGGTGTACGATTAAACGGGCCGTTTTCAAATAATAAATTATGCACAAATACGGACTTTTTTTGAAAAAATAGAATGACAACTAATTATGATATGATTTACTAATATTTTGACACTAAATTTGACGTGTTTTAGCATTTGGTGGTTGTTCACCTTTAAGGACATTCCACACATATCACCTTTTTGTTTTTAAACCAATGGTTAGTTTGGTCTCGTTTAAGTTGGGATTAATATCTAAATCATCATTCTGACACTTTATTTATTGGAACAGGTAATCGAAATATATGGCATTATTTATTTTGATTTATTCAAATAAAACAATTTATGTAGGGCTGAGCTGAAGATATCATCATGTAAAACTAAACGCTTATCGGTAAGGGACTCTCACTTACGCTCTCTGCAGAGAGCAAAGGTGAGCATAACCCCTGGAGTATCGATGATGTGAGGGACCACAGGACAGCCTAATATGGCACCCTTGATTTAACCTTAGCCCATATAATGAATAAATGTGTAAGAAAAGACAGGATAAATAAGGGGTCATTAGTGCAGCATGTAAGTTAGTTGTCTCAATTTATAGTACATAATAATAGGGGAAAACTACATTCGCAGCTTAAGTAAAGTACCCTGGGCTGATTAAGGCGTAGTTTAGACTAGTTTGTAAATAAATGATTACTTCGGAAGGCGCATTATAATATAATGTTTTTCCTTAAAAAGAACCGGAAGAATCTGTTGTTTAAATAACAAAACATTTTATTAGAACAAAAAACATGAAAAACACAATTTTCCTTTCTACACCCATTACTATAAGTCATTCAATTGTTGCTGGCACTTTCAGGAATAACTTGTCTTGACGGATTCCTGAAATAATAAAGACTTGAATTTAAAGTAACTTCTAAATCAGATTTAAAATACATCATATTCAGTCGGATGCTATTCTTTAAGGATATAACTGTAAAACATCTTTTTTCAACTATGACATCAAATGCCATTATCAATGTATCTATACATAGGCAAAATATAACTATGGTATCTATCAATGGTATTGAAGATCAAAACAAAGGACTGCCCTACCTTCTCTACCAATAACGCCTATTACAGGTATCTTGTGTCCATGGGCTTTAGCGAGATATTTTGTGTCTTAAAGACCTATATAAGGTATTTTTAGTTTATTGGGCATATGACATGTCTCAGGTGTTATACGACCTCTACCAAGTATTTATATAGCTTTTTGCACCAACAAACAATATGTTTAAATAAGTTCTTTAATTTGCGATTTCAGGTATTATTGTATAAGACCGGTACTCTACATTGTGTGTATAGGACCTCGACAAGGTATTGTGTGTTGATAGAGCTTCCACCAGTTTTTGTTTTTGTTTATAGGCTTTATAAAACATTTTGTGGTTGGAATTCAACAAGGTTAAGTTTTGTATTTTGTATAATAGGACCACTATGCGGTATTTTCTAGCTGCTATTGGAACTTCAAGCTACTTGATTTGGATGGTCAGTGGTTCATTAACGAAGTCAGTGTTAGAAATCGTATGTCTATTAAACAAAGTCACATCGTGATATTTAAGACGGGGTATAAAATATCAACATGTCCAACTGTTTTTTTACTTAATGTTGGTGTGTATTTTTTCACACACGTTAGTTAAAAAATCTTATATAGTTTTAAAACTGTATACGATAGACCGTGTAGAAGGGTCCTTGCTTTATTCGCTAGATGGTTAAAACGCCCCTAAACATCTCGAACTGTTCATTATATACAAAATTAACACGGAGATAAAAATGCAAGAATTCAAACGAGTAAATTTGATTCATTTGTAAATGGTCTGTTATACGGTATTAGTGAGTATGTGTACCTGGTATCTTAGCCAGAGTTAGACTTGTAAACTGCCACTCCATTAAGACGAACAAAGCTTGGGGGTCCAATAGGAATCTCCGACACTCCGGATTTCTCTATCTTCATCACTCCACTAGAATAAAAGCAGATTAATTGCTGATCTTCCGCTGACGTTGGCACTGATAAATATTTGCTTGCGTTGTAAACTATTTGAACTGAACGTATGAAATGTATTTGGGGATAAATGTCACCTGTGCTGGCAATTAAGACTCGTACATGTGTACGTATGACATTATCTATCGATTGCTAAAGTTTTCATTCTATTGATTTTACATATTCCTGGAAATGTTCAAACAAGGGAACTAAAAAAGCACCAAATCAAAAGATATGACTTTGCCACTACATCAACATGCTTCAAACAGTATAATAGGTTGTAAACATGTCCTAACTCTGTATGAACAAGTGCGATGATTTGTTCTTACTCTTTGGTCCAGTCGGAGAAATAGATGAACTCTTCGTCGGTATCCACCCCGAAGAAGTGCGCCCCGGAGTCCTCAAACAACACCTGTCTGGAACTGCCATCGGTGTTCATCACCTCAATCTTGTTGGTTCCCGCGTCACAGAAGTACAGCTTGTTGTCTGTAACAGAGGAACACCTCAGCATTGTGACTACTCTTCCAAATTATCCACATCAAAGTTGCAGCTGCTACAACATGCTGGTAAATGTTACTCTAAATACCTTTATAAACCCTTTAATAACAGAAATATTAATGCACTTATTTTGTTTACATTATTACCCTATTTTGTACCTCATCACAGGGTATGTAAATCACAATTAATTCTGGAGAATTAAACATATTAAATATAGAAAAGATATATATAGATGAAATCTATTAGATTCATAAAATATCAGAATATACTGTAAGATAACAGACAATACGCCCACGATGGATCGTGGAAACTGATAATTTTTGATGTGACTGAAATATGTTCTGGCAAAACTGATAGACAAATATTGCTGGGTCTTTACTTGGTGGGAATAATCTTCGGAAATGAAAAAAAAATGTTTATCGTAAGAAATTAATGTGAAAATTAGAATTAATAGATTGCAATTGTGTTTTCATATTACAAAGCAACTGAGACACGATTATTTATGGCGTGACAGAAATATATTATTTGTTTTTAATTTGATCTGATTATACTGAAATAATCACTTCAGTGTCAAGCTTAAATAAAAGCCAAGTTGCCAAGGTGATTACTACTTTCCGAATCCCTATACATACCTTTCTCGTCGAAAGTAAGTCCGTTGGGGAGGTTCAATCCGGTACCGTTGGCGATCACCTGTCTGCCGCTCCCGTCATAGTTAGCCTTTTCTATCTTAGGGTTACTGCCCCAGTCTGTCCAATATACCACCCTAACAGGGAAATAACATTTACTTTCTGTTAACAATATTCGTGTTAATAAAGTAACAACGAAATACGGAAATATATATTACAGAGCATTTTGATGTGGATGAATATTAATATAAAGAGGGATCACGAAAGAATGCATAATGCATACGGGATTATTTCGCCGCAGTTTAACCTTTGCCTTTCCCTCATCATTGCAGCAAAAAGTAAGCATTTTAATACTACAAGTAGTACTCAAATGTGAAAAGAGCGAACTTACACTGGGCGAATACAGATTTTATTGGCGTACGGCGAAAATTTCCTTTGCGAAAACTTCCCGGTATACAGCAATCATGTTTAATAAGGAAGTTACCGTCACTATGGACAATGTTGATATCCATGTGACAAACCAGGGGATTAATCATATTTCATGCACACGCAACGAAACACATGCATGATAATGGCGGTTGTATCATCTATTTTTGAATGATGAAAAGAGAAACTCCATTGGGCAACCGTTTGAAAAATCAATTTCTTGGAATGGTCATACAAGCCAATGTATGGGTGATATCTAAAACACAAGATATTGTTTAAAGCGGTAATAATTCTGTAGTAGTTCGAGAGAGAGAGAGAGAGAGAGAGAGAGAGAGAGAGGCAAACGTCAAGAGAACCATATGCGACATTGAATGGACGAAAGAGCTACTTGAGATATTTTCAATATTTGGGCTTAATTGTTTACTACTTTTCTTCAGAATTAATCATGTGTTTATGGTCATTTTGCAGTTTCAACCCATCCCCGCCTGCAATAAGTTAAGGAAGTTGGATGTGTGAGCTTACTGGTTTTTCTTGTCAACGGCTATCGCTCTTGGTTCATTTAAGTTTGTCGTGATGATATTTGACTGTCCAGTACCATCGATACCGATTTTACCAATGACGTCATTTCCAGTATCGGTGTAAAAGAGCAGACGATTTGTGTCGTCAACGACCAAACCATCCGGGGTAGCAACTGTAAACATAGAATTTGTTATCATGATCATCAAATGTTATCCATAACATTTGTTATAGGTAAAGGAAGTCCATAATGAAAGTAAATATTAGCTGAGATACTTACGATATTACGCCATGACTGTATACAGAAAAAGATAACATCGATTAAGACGTCAAAAAGCATAGTTATACTGTGACGTCATAGTCATAAGGTTTATTTAACATCGATTAAGACGACGTCAAAAATTATACAAAAACACGGTTAGATTTCAGGTCACATTCATAAGGAATACTACAGATCCAATAGCTTCTATGTTACTTCACGTCATCTGTAACATTTGAACATGTATCTAAAGCTACTAGCAGCCATTACATTAATTTACCATGGCTTTCAAGCTTTCTGAATCAATTTAGGTGCTATCGTACTTCTGTTGAGCTGTAATAAATCCTTCTGTGTGGCCCCGTCTAGACTTGTCTGTCTGATGATACCCGCTCGGACGTCTGTGTAGAACACATTGTGGCTGACAGGATCGTAGTCAACAGCAATAGGTGAATATACATTGGTGTTTGGAATAGCGGAGTAACTTCCGGTTTCTAAGTCCATTCGGTAGACCTCAGAACTATATGAGTCGGCCATCAATACAAAACTCTTGATCGTTGTGGGATCTTGAAGTAGTACAAATTAGGTTCTTTTAACTCAAGCGTAAACAAAGTTTTATTAACTCAGATTAATACATCATTTAAAAAGAATACATTTATTATAACATATAAAAGAAGACATTAGAACACATATTTTTCTTTAGATTTAAAAGTGACGCGTAAGTTAAATGTTGAGTTTACGGAAGTTTACATCAAATGTAAACGTAAGGGATACATTTTTAGGCCCACGCGTTAAAATGGACTCTTTCAGCATACAATCCATAATCTGTTACCACGATAGTATTGACAATACTAGCATCACAATGCCTTACCTTGTACATGTGCTTGGTGTTCTCTAGTAAAGCACACCTTCGATATATACTCGAATATATTTTAACGAATCACTATTTTGACGTTGAGAATGGTTTTGTATATTGCAGTGCTGAATAGTATATATTTAAACATTATACATATAAATTTAGACTTTTTTGTACGTATCAATGAAGGATGTATTCTACTTTTATATTTCATGCGATCGAATCTCGTTCAACTCCTCAATTTCTTATTTCAAATTCCGTTTCACATTTTGTGTTCTCGTATCCCTTTTTATAAGAAAGTATTATTAAAAGCGATACCTAATTGACAGGTGACCCCGGCGTCTTCGCTATGGCTGCAATCATGTACTCCCCAGTCACTTGGTAGTGTACACTGCGCAATATGAGACTCCTGCCCAGTACAGTTGACCGAATCCAAAAATATTAGAACGTTGCCGTCACTTCCGTAACGAGACTCGTTGACAGCAACAGCATTAGCTCTACAATAAAACCCAGTTATAAGCCGCTCATAAAATCTAATAAAAACGCCAATTACAAAGATTCACATTGCAATTCCAGTGTTAATGTACGTTTGATTGTCTTCATATCATAGACGTCTGAAACGGGTTTAATACGATTTTTCATTAGGCAGTGTTGTTTAGATAACTATCTCCAAAGAATGAGTTATTGCCTTCATTTAAGTATCATTAAAACTTCTCAAAGTACCGACAACTTCTCACTGACTATAATTAAACTAACTCATGGTTGGAAACATAAATGAATCCTTATTTACCTCACACCAAAACACGTACTTGCCAAATCCCATCATATCACATATGACGCTAGCGTCTGCGTTGGTCCAGCCGTCGTCACAGATGGTACCCCACACTCCGTTAGCGTACACCTCCACCAGGCCCTCGTTGTGGTTTCCGCTGCCCAGCAAGCGAACAAACATGTGTGTCTCATCTTGTACGATGGGAGCTGGAGTAACGATACCTAAAGCACACAAGAAAAACATGGTGAAAGGACATCTAATTCATACAGAAAGAAACACATTATGTATTGGACACATCCTGTGCACAAGTTTGTGTACCTGGTATGCCTGTAATAAAATGTTGTAGTTGATGTCTTTTAGCTTTGAAAAAATTACATATATGGCATGCCCGTATCTTAGTGTTGTACGTGGATGTCTGCTAGCTCCCAAAATTAACGTACCTGGCATATGCCTATACCATAGTGTTGTACGTGGATGTCTGCTAGCTCCCAAAATTAACATACCTAGCATGCCTGTACCATAGTGTTGTACGTGGATGTCTTCAAGCTTTAAATAAATTGCATACCTGGCATGCCTGAACCATAGTGTTGTACGTGGATGTCTGCAAGCTGTTTGAAGGATGGGGGTCCTACAGTAGTCTTTCCAGTGCCGTCTTTGTTCACCCTCATCACGGAACTACATGATATGCAGATATTTAAAATGAATTTAAAGTTTTTGTTTTAAATATTATTTATTTGAATTTCGTTAGAATGGTTACAGAATATTATCTCTCGACTGAAACTTATTCAGAAGCCACACGTGAATAATGAACGTCACACAAGCTCACAAAAGAATGATTTCACCTTTAAAATTTGATAATAGATGTAGTTTGCCGAAAATGAACTGCATTACGTCACGCAGCTGGTTCGTGTTTCGGTGATACCATAATTCTGAATAACATGTTTGTACCTACCTGCTTGTCCAGTCGGTGTAATATATGTACTGTTTGTAAAGTGATAGCGCGAACATGTGTGAACCAGGATCAGACATGACGACAGAACGGCCCGTACCGTCCGTGTTTATCTTCTCTATCTGATCAGTACTCGCGTCCACGAAGTACAGAATGTTGGCTGGGAAAAATCAAATGTAAAAACATTAAAATATGATCACCTGGGTATGATGTTAAAAAGCATTAAATGCGTATTTATTACTAGGTATTTGTGATGTGATATATTATGCTTTGATTGTATCGAATAATCGACTGTACGACCCGAATGGTTATCCTTTCTTTGTCGAAGGTATCTTATTTCCGAAAGCAAATTGTGATTCACCTCTGCTTCAAAATTGAACGACCGTTTTTATAATATCTTTTCGTACTTGTATAGTCCAAAGCGAGTCCGTTTGGCCATTTCATGTTGGTGGATGCAATAGCCTGTCGACCGGTTCCATCATAATTCATTTTCTCGATCTTTGGCGAGCTCCCCCAGTCGGTCCAGTACACCACTCTACACCGAAATAATATCAATTGTAAATCTCTTTCATTTCGTGCGAGAAGTTTGTTTGAATTAATTCATAAGAGCTGATTGTGAATTCAAATATTTCGCAATTAGGGATATCCAATGTTTGATTTTCATATACATTTAATCGACTTGTTTTAAAAGAAAGATATATATTGGGGGACAACCCACTAATCATTTATTTTAATTATAGTGACTTTGTGTGTTTTAGGGGAGTCTGCTGAAGGCATTTCTTAGATCATACCCTTAACATTTGGTATAAGATTGAAGATGACAAATTGTTCTGCATCTTGCATGAAAAATGTAACTTTCAGTTAACGTACCACTGAACATTTCTACAATGTACCTATTCGGGATCAAACGTACCTGTTTTGGGGATCTATTGCTAAGTCACGTGGTTCGTCTACAGTATCGTTAGCAAGAACTTTAAAGTTACTCCCGTCTAGGTTAATGGAGGCGATGAAGTCGTTACCGGTGTCAGCGTAGAACAATACCCTGTTGATGGGATCTACTGCTACTTTCTCTAAGTCTGCATCTATAAAAATCAAAGAGTACACAAAGGTATTAACAAAACCATACACAAAACATCAGAAAAACAAGAAATTGAAAAAGTAAAAGGATAGTTAGACCAGGTGTTCAAGAAGGGTAAGCGTCTTCTGCTTCATCGACTGCACCCGCCAATTTAGCAAAGAGCGAAACGCCAATATTCTTCAAATAATAAGTCAGCTGATGTAGAAGCATGTAGTAATCCATCATGTTAGCAAAGTATTTACTTAAGTTAGCGGATGAGGACAGTGTCAACATACTCGTGCTGAGCTACTGTAATTTCCAATAGTATACAATACGAAGGCCATTCAATAAACGCTGTGCTTTCACAGCTCCCGTACGAAGGACGATATAGTTTAACACCTTGCCAGACTGCAAAAGCTATTAAAGAACAGTGCACGTGCAAAATATCAACAGCATCCCCCCCCCCTCCCTTAAAAGATTATGTTATTCATTTTTTGAATGGTAAGCACGCGTTACTTGTGTCTACTTTTCAATGCTAAAATAACGGTTTAAACTAAATCTGAAATACGCTCTTATATTAAAGCACGGTGCGCTTTACAGATGCCGCCTAAAAAGGCACGTGCACCGTTGTGCAGCATCAAGTTAGCCTTTGCAACGACATTGAGAGCTATCTTCAGGTGGGTGAACAGAGACAAGAAGGGTTTAAGGTGACTTCAAAGAGGACATACAGCCAGGCAGGCAATACACATCACATTCTGCTCAAGCGCTTGAAATTAACGGAGCGTTGTGTCTAATTGACTCCCCTTTTGCTGACATCTGGACAAAAGACCAAACGTTTAAAATGTGCTAAAATATATGGGAAAAGTACGGTAATTTCGACTCGAGAAAGCTATCTGATTTACTTACTGGGGTTTAGACCTGGTTGTATTACTTTGAACCCCAAATACGCATAAATAACAAGCAATGGTTGTCAAGAAATCAAGAAAGGTCAGTGATTGCAAGACGTATTAAAAGAGTGCTTCAACCAACAATAAGGAATAGGGTGCAGGCGTTTTCGAAGCAAGAAAGTATAGTCCACACTGATCAGCAACCCTATTCACCAGTTTTAAGTCCCTGTGGCGTCTACCTGTTTCGTTTACTAAATAAAAGGATATCTGGGAAACGATTTACATCTAGGACTGCTTTGGGTAGAAAAACCTCGCCAGTATACAAAGGGGAGACCACCACGAAGCGTTTATGTCATGGGTAGCGCGTAGCGAAAATGGATTTCACCTAAGGGGATACTTCGAATTATTATGATAGAAAGATCAAACACAGATCACTGACACTTGTTACTGAATTTATTGAATGGCCATGGTATTACCTACTTGAGTCAACTCTCATCAGTTCCCGGATGCATACATGAACACTTACTCGAGTCTTGGGTGCTTCACCTAACAGATGTGTTGTTTGAACGGTGGTAAGGCAACAGTTCCCGGGTGTGGACATTATTTACTAACTGTACTGCAGCCTTGCTACTGAATGTCCCGGATGTGTGCAGTACCAACTACTTGAGTGGAACTTTAGTATTTGCGTCCGGATGAGTATAGTGTCAACTTACTTGCGTCGAGTTGCTTAAGTTCCCTGATGTCAGTACCGCTGAAGTGAACACTAAGAAGCTGTCGGAGGGTAGGATCCACAAAGTAGATACGGCCGTCTGTTGGATCATAGTCGAGTGCTGAAGGTGTATACAGAGGGTTCATCGGGATAGGAGTGAAACTTTGTGTGTCTATGTCCATTCGAAATATAAGGCCACCCACTCCAGTATCCACAAGTAGTATGAAGTTGTCCTGTGTTCGCACTGCCGGACATAGATTGATATGTTATTATTGCGAATATAAAAACATAATTGTATTTCCAATAATGAAAGAAAGACAGTTTGAAAATGATCGGTCTACTTAGCAAAGATCTAGCACACAATCGCATATTTGATTTCAGATATGATTTTAACTCCGTATTTCCACATTAACTTATCACGACAGTTACATGATTGGAAAGATTATTTTACAATTTGTTTCAAGCCACAACTTTACAGATATTAACTATGCTTCTAGATACTAATCTATCACTATACTTACTTGGTGAACACTCAACACCCGCATCCTCTCTATGTGTACAATCGTTTTTGTCCCAGTCGTTGTGTTGACATTGGTCTATAATTGTCTCGGTTCCTGTGCAGTTCACTTCATCAAGCCAGATATGGGCATAGGTAGGCGCAGATCCAAATCCAGCAACCGGTACAGCTCCAGCGCCATCACTAGAACGACAAATCACACCATCATGTATAAGGAATTGATCACGCTACATATGGGTATGTTAACATGACAGTATAAGAATAAAACAAATGCCAAGAAATGTATCTTGTCTATTACTTTTGTGTATTGTTTTTCATTTCAATAAGCATTTAAAGTTAATACTTAGAAAGTGTGTCGATGGAATACAGGTATATTAAAATGTTAAGTTTGAATACATGAATTTGAAATAGTCCAGCAGGTTTTATTCGTTTACTAGAAGCTGTAGGATAAATGATCTTCAGTGTAAATAAAACGTTAGACATAATTAAACAAGATCTTGATTAAATAGATCTTTAATTATCAACGGCATCTTTATTGTGTATTTGAACACCTTTGTATTAATTGTGTATGTGAATGTCTTAATCGTGTATGCTTAAGTCTTAATTATGTATGTGAATGTCTTAATCGTGTATGCTAAAGTCTTAATTGTGTATGTGAATGTCTTAATGAATGTCTTAATCGTATATGCTAAAGTCTTAATTGTGTATGTGAATGTCTTAATGAATGTCTTAATCGTATATGCTAAAGTCTTAATTGTGTATGTGAATGTCTTAATGAATGTCTTAATCGTATATGCTAAAGTCTTAATTGTGTATGTGAATGTCTTAATGAATGTCTTAATCGTATATGCTAAAGTCTTAATTGTGTATGTGAATGTCTTAATGAATGTCTTAATCGTATATGCTAAAGTCTTAATTGTGTATGTGAATGTCCTAATTGTATATGCTTAAGTTTTAATTATGTAATTAATTGTCTTAATCGTGAATATGCACGAGTATTAATTGTGTATGTCTATCGAATATTTGAAAGTCTATCGTTTATGTATCAGTCTATCGGATATTTGAAAGTCTATCGTTTATGTGAAAGTGTATCGTTTAGATGAAAATCTATCGTTTATGTGAAAGTCGATCGTTTATGTGAAAGTCTATTGTTTATGTGATATTCTTGAATGTTTATGTTAAAGTCTATCGTTTATGTGTAAGTCTATCGTTTATGTGAACGCCTATCGTTTATGTGGATGCCGTACGGTTAATGTGAAAGTCTTGATTGTTTATGTGGATGCCGTACGATTAATGTGGATGTCGTTACCGTTAATGTGGATGCCGTCCCGTTAATACGATAGTCTTGATTGTTTATGTGAAAACCTTTTTTCGTGTAAGTGAACGTTTTTATCGTGAATGAGATACTTCGTCGTCTTAGTGAAATAAAATTCGGCAATGTAACAGCATTTATAAATTATCAATCGGAAACCTTTATTGTTATGTGGTAGCTTTCGTTTTCATATAAAAACAACTGTGCAGTTGATAGTTTTTAAGGTGCATTTTGATAGAAAATAGTGATATTTTCTTATTGTAAAAGACTTTTATCGTCAATTAACGGCATTGAAAGTATTTATAGTTCACAAGTAAGTTTTCTTTGCCCTTGTTCGAATCTTTTTCTTTCTATTTGCGAAAGTGTTTATTATCCATATGGAACCTTTAATTGTCCATATGAGCTATACTATAGTACATATTTGTGACTCATTACAGCGACCATACCGTATCCTATCTAATTGTTTGTGATACTGTTTCTACTTCTTCAAAACATCTAGTGGTGATTGAGTTAAAGAAAGATACCGTCCAAATCCAAGCATTCCACAAATAACGGCCGCTTCCTCTCCACCCCAGTTATCATCACAAACCGTTCCCCATCGACCAGAATGGAACAACTCCACGCGTCCTTCATAGGGATTTGAACCTCCAATTAAACGGGCCCATGTGGTGCTGTTTGGTGGTACCGTCGGAGGAGGAGCTGTAGAAATAGTGTTTAAGATGTTACAAAACAATTTTGGATATCTCACTGTAAAAGTATAGGGCATCATTTATATGTATAATGAGGACAGTTTAAACCTGTTATTGACTGTTGTTATTAACTGTATACTGATGACAGTTTATAACTGTCGTTGACGGCTGTTATTAACTGTATAATGATGACAGTTTATACCTGTTGTTGACGGTTGTTATTAACTGTATAATGATGACAGTTCATACCTGTTATTGACGGTTGTTATTAGCTGTATAATGATGACAGTTTATACCTGTTGTTGACGGTTGTTATTAACTGTATAATGATGACAGTTCATACCTGTTGTTGACGGTTGTTATTAACTGTATAATGATGACAGTTTATACCTGTTGTTGACGGTTGTTATTAACTGTATAATGATGACAGTTTATACCTGTTGTTGACGGTTGTTATTAACTGTATAATGATGACAGTTTATACCTGTTGTTGACGGTTGTTATTAACTGTATAATGATGACAGTTTATACCTGTTGTTGACGGTTGTTATTAACTGTATAATGATGACAGTTTATACCTGTTGTTGACGGTTGTTATTAACTGTATAATGATGACAGTTTATACCTGTTGTTGACGGTTGTTATTAACTGTATAATGATGACAGTTTATACCTGTTGTTGACGGTTGTTATTAACTGTATAATGATGACAGTTTATACCTGTTGTTGACGGTTGTTATTAACTGTATAATGATGACAGTTTATACCTGTTGTTGACGGTTGTTATTAACTGTATAATGATGACAGTTTATACCTGTTGTTGACGGTTGTTATTTGCTGTATAATGATGACAGTTTATACCTGATGTTGACGGTTGTTATTTGCTGTATAATGATGACAGTTTATATCTTTTGTTGACGGTTGTTATTAACTGTATAATGATGACAGTTTATACCTGTTGGTGACGGTTGTTATTTGCTGTATAATGATGAAAGTTTATATCTTTTGTTGACGGTTGTTATTAACTGTATAATGATGACAGGTTATACCTGTTGTTGACGGTTGTTATTTGCTGTATAATGATGACAGACTTTACCTGTTGTTGACGGTTGATAACATACTTTACCTGTTGTAGCTCCTGTACCACACTGGTTTGTATTACAGATGTCCCCATTGCAACACTCGTTACACCTTGGTATGACACGCTTGCCCATGTTGGAGAGGGATCGAGACCGGCTGTTCTCACGTTTCCCTACCAACGGTCCCGTTCCGTGGAACGCAGAGCAAACCTATTCAGGGAAGGAAATGTTATTAATGAGAACGTAGACAATCTTCACGAAGTAGTGATGGAGTAAACTATTATGGGCCAATACATGTTCTCGAGAAAAACGAGACTTTTCAGATATCTGAGGTCGTTATGCTGTATATTACCTTTCGATATACATACATGTGTATGTAACAAGTGAACAGAAACCATTATTGTCAACTAATGAATGTTAAGTAAGCAAGCTTAGACAAAATTATTAATCAGATAAACCTCAATTTGTCTTCTAAGTTATATTACAATTACACCATAATATATTTACTTTAAATACAAAAATGTACCTGCTGTCTTGTACAGCCCTGGTTGAACTTGTCAGTCGTTCCCGTTATTGTCACCTTTTCTACGTAACATACCTGGACGTGTAAAAGAAAATTAATAAACACATGCAATACCTTTCAAGTGTGCCATCAGTAATTTACGAATGTTTCCACAATTAATAACAAAAGTAGTTTCTTCCTAATTATCGAAGTGAAATTTCTTTAACCTATATTTGTTTTTTATCTCAGAAATGAAATTTATGTTTCCCCTATCCCAAATTTGTTCACCGCTTTTGCAGATTTAACTTTTGATGTAAAAAAACCTGGTATTAAACTTTTATTAATATTCAATGGAACGAAAGAAAATGTGTTTATCTTCCTAAAACAGTCGAAATACTTGGGGGTCCGTATGCTTTAGTGATAGATATAACGTCAAAAAAGGTGGAATTTAGCATTGCATACAGTGCATGAAATTAACATTTTTGAGAAATTCAAAATGGCCGCCGAATGGGTATTTTTTTTAAACAACCTGAAAAAATAGTTCTGCAAACAATGGCAATCTAGGTGTTTTTTTATGCATTTTTCAGATACATGCTTGTTTTATAAATTGATCATAAAGTATTATATTTAATAAAAACCCGCTGTACTAGATGAACACGATATTTGAACTTGACTGACATCTCAAAAGAGTTCATCCTTAATGTCAAAACCTTTATAATGAGGACGTCTGTAGGCAAAATATGATAAATTAAGTAACTGTACATTAGTGCATTAATTTATTAATAGAGTCAGGGGATGACTATAACAATCAGTTAATTTGCGCCTGATGTCACTGAGAGCTCTATTCATTCAAAATATGCCTCTTCATATGTTCCTCAATAGATTAGCTGTCTTTCAAACTAAATTCAATATCCAAGTTAAAGATATCATGAATCAAGAAAATAATAAACATGAATTTCATTAATAAAACACCTAATAGTACTACAAAGAAGGATACTCATTATGTTATTCAACATCGTTAATCAGCTAGCATTTAAAAAATGTTGCATGGAATCAACCATCAGATGAATTAATAACTATTGAATTATTAGTTTAAATCCATAAGGAAAATACACCATACACAGATACTGATATGTATGGTTCAGGTTACCAATATGTCAAGGTATAAACAAGTCTATACAATTCAGGTTAACAAAGTGTCAAGGTTAGCCTTTCTACGTGTGTGTTTTTGACAGACAATCACACAGTTATCTAAATTCCTTATCTATGTTATCTTTGAACACCTTGTGGATTATACATGGGAGTTGCGAATGGTGACGGCGGCCAGGACCATGGTTTAAAGATGAATTATATGAACAATACGCATAGGAAACTACTCATTCTTGATATTACACAAAGAACTCTATTCAAGTAATTCTTATATCCGTTACATATAGTCAAGACAAATATGATGGCGATATTGCCTGGATTACACATATCTAGGCAGGTGGGGGATCGGTAAAAGAATACGCCTGCTGTGACCCACTGCATGTATCGTAGGAGGCGACTAATGTATGAACCCCTTGCAGAATTGGGGATTTGCTTTGGTGTCCTCTATGTGGGGACAAAACACAAAAGCGACCAAATAAAACTGCTGCGCCCATTGCAATATTTGGGATCTTTATCTTCCTTTCTACTTATAACTACCTAATATTTCCTAGCGACTTGCTCGGGAACACCTCACTTTTGGCTTGAATGTTGAGCATTCGCCCAGGCGAGGAAGGCAATGGGTTCTGTCCCCAGACCGAGACTTACCAAAGTCCTTAAACATGGTAGTTGTATGGTTCACCCGTTGTCAGTATAATGTGACGGAACAGGATGCTGTGTTGGTTGCCTTCGGCATGGTATTCCAGTGAGATAGCACACCAACATATCCTGTCTCCTGCATACACACACGCAAGCACGCATACACTACACACATGGAGGCACGTCCTTAAATGACCTTATGTCGATATGTATATATGACGTTAAAAACACTTAACAAAATTAAACCAAAACAAGGCTGGACTACACAATTTGTTCAAAGCATTTCAAGTATCAGACTCTCTTTAATTGTCACCAATACCATTTTTGAGAGATTTTATATATTCACATGATATTGTTTCTTAATATAAATGCTCATGATTGTGAGTCTTACTATATCTTCATAAAAACAATATTTCAGATTTAGGAAATATAGCTGAAGCTGAATTCACTCATAGAATATAATGTAGATATCATATTCAATTTCAACATATTTTACTGACAAAAGAAGTCAACAGGATTTGACATCAGGCATTGCCTGTACATGTAAATATCATATGGTAAATTAAACGTTATATCTGGGAATTGTGTAGTCTAAATACTTTAATCTGATTACTTATCGTTTTTGTTGGTTATCTTTCTCATTTGTCATTATTGAATTGTTACAATTTATTAAGAAATATAACAGGTTTGTAGAGTCGAACCTTTTGGAAATAGTTGAGTTATTTATATTACGATATTGTTTATTCTTAAGCAAAATTAACTGCCCACACCGTAATTGTCTCTTGTTCTGATGCGTATGCAAGGTAATACTCATGCGTCACCGAATTGAACTGATCAACTGGCGAATCAAGTGATGTTCTACTATCATCGCTCAACGCTTGAGCCAGCTCATGTAAGTAAGACGGTTGATTTTGGCTTTTCCTAACATGTTTTATTGGTGACTGGTGATCCAACACCAGACATTGTTTTGCTTCAGAAAGGTTCTGCTGACATATCTTGTATGCTCTAGTGCGTTATATTTTTGAAAAATAACGCGAGCGGCATGGCGTTATAAAAACTTGAGTACCCTGTCGTTGCGATTTTGTCCCGTTAAACGTCTCTTCGCCTCTTATCACGATGTAACAAGCAGATAGTCCGATAAACAGATAAGGTCACTTAAACACGTGCCTCAGTGTGTGTAGTTTATGCGTGCTTACGTGTGTGTATGCAGGAGACAGGTATGTTGTTGTGCTTGCCTCCTTGTGATAGCGCGGATCTGATGCCGACTTTATAGTGCTATCTCACTGAAATACCATGCCGAAGGCAACCAACACAGCATTTCGCCCAGTCACATTATACTGAAAACGGGTGAACCAGTTGTTGCCATTCCCTTATATGCTGAACGTTAAGCAGGAAACAACAACTACCATTTTTAATGACTTTGATATGTCCCGGCCTTGGAACAGAACCCATTGCCTTCCTGACCTGGGCGAACGCTCAACCATCAGGCCAAAAATGGGGTGTTGCCAAGCAAGCCGCTAGGAAATAAAAAGGTAGTTAGAAGTAGAAAGGAAGGTAAAGATCCCAAATATTGCAATGGGCGCACCAGATTTATTTTGGTCGCTTTTGTGTCCCAAAATAAAGGACACCAAAGCAAATCCCCAATTCTGCATGGGGTTCATACATAAGTCGTCTCCTGCGATACATGCAGTGGGTAACAGCAGGTGTATTCTTTTCCCGGTCCCCCACCTGCAGGGGTGACAAGCAGACTAACACCAAACGACGTTGTGTACAGGTAGAATTTAAACGGTTGTGTCAAGAAAGGCCTCATTTTTATAGGGATACACAAATCAATTTCAAATATTTTGGGCAGATGCAAGACGACCAAGCGCTGTCCTAGCAGTCTTACTTGCAGAAACAATGCAATCACGCATAAATAAACGGTTCAACAAAAACGTTCTGTCTTTGCATGTCAACCAAATTGCTATACTACTTGACGCTGAAACATTTCCACATTCCATATAGGGGCATGATACCAAGCAATTATTTATGTATGTGTGTCAGCCTCGGTATAATAAAAATGCGTATTCCCTTTTCAGTCGTCACGTGTTGGAAGAGGTCTAGCGTTTCAGTTTTGACAAGTCACCAGCTTTGTCTACGAGTTATTGCAAAAACGTACGAGAGATTCTTGGATGAACCACTACAGACTTTCAAGCTTGAACGATATTAATAAACGGGGCGTCACTTGGAAGGTATTTATTTCCAAATGTTTATACTACAAAAAAGTTGTGAAACTGATTATCAGGGAAAGAGACACATGTACTTTCTTTTTTTGTTGAGTACAGTACAATGTTTAACCGCAAACGTCCTTGAACTTACCTCATCCTCCTCACACCGGACTGTCCGGGTACATTGACCAGGGTCATCAGACAGGGTACACGCAAAACACAGCGGACCTGAGGCTGTAACATATGGGGACCAAATTAATAGGCAATTTACGCGCTCACATAGCAAACTTAATGCTGTATAGCATAACATGGGTCTCAATTATCAAACATGGTACAAACCATACGTAATGGACCCGAATTTGTATTATATAACACAAGCATCATCAATAACACAGATTACTGAAATGAATGTCGGTTGCAGCAATTTGAAATAGAGATAAGATGTAATTTTAGATGAATATTATTATTAATATCAAATATTAATCTGAAAGTTTGTCTGTCAAAATTAAGATATTACTAGAGGTTACTTTCATATAGTTGGTTAAGCTAAGTTATGTCTTTGTTATACATCATACAATCCATCTGTATGGCATTGAACCAGAAATGTATTTTAGCACCCAAAGCCTCGCAAATTGCGGGATACATTCAATCAAATGCTGTCTGTCCGCTCAGCCGTCTAACACTATTGTTTTCAGACATGAGGTCGTTTTGTAACGTGATACCATAGTAAAATAAAAAATAATAATTCTACAGCATAGCAAACGCACTTTCTTTACCACTAGTTTGTATATATACGAAGTTTTGTAAAATATTTTTTCGCAATAATCATAAACAACCGGGCCAGTGTCTTCGCTCTATTGACCTATATGGTACATTTCTTGAACTATGCTTTTATATTTCGATTGGTGTGAGGCAAGACAAGGGTAACATAATGCGCTCTCATACAATTAGATACTTACAACGCTTGCTATTGGAGCCCTCTTCTGAGTAGGGTAGACTTAGAACTAGTACTGGCACTACTGTAGTAACAACACAGCAACAGACATTTCAGTGAGTACAAATATTGTCAATATTTCGGTCTAATGACATTTTTCAAGCTATGGATCTTTTGAAACTTTGTCATTATTACACAAATATACGTATATTATTAAACAAGAAAAGCATATTGTTTGCTAAAATCAAATTTCAATACATTTACATACCTTCAATATTTATTTTTATTCTAATATAATTTATATAAAAATGGGTGTATGATTATCGATAACAATTTACAATGATTAGAAATAAGAAAGAAAGTCCGACCAACAATTGTTTGAGCTTTTAAGAACCCTACAAGTATTTCATGACGACTACAACGTTATCAATTGTCCATTATAATACCAACAGCTGTTATGCAAATTTTAGGTTATTATGCAATGCAGATAACGAAATCCAAACATCAATATAACTATAATTCATCACCGATCTGATTTAAATAACGAGGATCACTCATTGACTTTGTATGAAATATCACAGATCAAAACCACACCACATCCTGTACTCACCTGCCAGCAGTAGAGATGTGCGGAGGAGCTCCATTGCAGAAGAGCGCTGGACGTACTGAACGGGAAACGCGTACGGCAGACCAAGGTCTTATAAGACCAGCAGACGACCGCATCACGTGACAGTTTAATGATAACCTTATCAGGGCTGACGAACTTCCTGGTAGTAAAGTATACGTCTACACAGTGCGATTAAAACTGTTTTCCTTCCGTATGTTTTTGGTGTTACTGTATTATTAAGAACATCCTAGTCGCCTACATTTTGGATTTCTTTGTATCATTAAATTGATGTTTCTTTCTTTCTTGAGAAATAGTTGTTTTGGCAATGCAATGGACCAAGCAAACGAATTCTTAAAAATCTAAATCAATTAAAAGACAGAAAATAATACCAACTTCCAATAGATAATCTTTTAAAACTCACCAGCAATATGTGCATCAGTACAATTTGTAAGAGAACTAACTAGATTATATATTTGAAGTTTTTTGTTTTAATATGGTTTTGTGTAATATGGTAATAATTACCAATTCAAAAGCAATAAAAAACAAAATAACCTTAAATGAAAAAAAACCATAAAACGCAATGTTCGTCAACGTTCGAAGATGCGGTAAACAATTGATAGACAGTATGGTTTCAGGACAGAAACTAGCGTTAAATTACTTCAGTTTGTTGTGAAGCCTCTACGGTAATTAATTAGGACATGATACACTGAGAAGGTTTTAGAAGCCTTAGATATTTATAGATATTTGTTTTATGCAAACTATAAGGACAAATTAAAAAGTTCTTCCATCCTACCGTTTCCTCACCAGGTTATTACTTATATTTAACTTTATTTTTTATTTTTCTCAAATAATACCATCAAAGTCTAATGCGTTTCGTCAACATCACACAGAGCCTGGGTTGGTCATTTGTAGATACACATGAACATTATTTTCAGTCTATTGTTTTATACGCAAAACCAGCATTATTTGTATTAACGGAATGATAATTCTTAGGAACTAAAACACGTTAAGTTCCATTTTCAACTTCTTTTGTAGAGCATTCTTAAAGACGTATGTGGAACGGTGAGACTTTTCTGTCATGTATTTTTTTTCTAGATGTAAATAGGTGCAATGTTCTCTTATCTTTAACACTGAACTGTAGGTTGACCTCAAGTGTCTTACTAATGTATTTATTTCTGACTGTGCCATGATATGTCTTTGATTGTATGGTAAGATGTTTCCGTTATCTTAGGGCATGGTAAGGTGTCCCTATCTCTGACTGTGTGATGGAGTGTCCCTATCTCTGACTGCGTGATGGAGTGTCCATATCTATGACTGTGTGATGAAGTGGCACTATTTCTGTGTGATTAAGTGTCCCTATCTCTGACTGTGTGATGGAGTGTCCATATCTCTGACTGTGTGATGAAGTGTCCATATTTCTGACTGAGTGATGAAGTGTCACTATCTCTAACTGTGTGATGGAGTGTCCGTATCTCTGATTGTGTGATGAAGTGTCACTTTTTCTGTCTGTGTGATGGAGTGGCACTATTTCTGTGTGATTAAGTGTCCCTATTTCTGACTGTGTGATGGAGTGTCCATATCTCTGACTGTGTGATGGAGTGTCACTATCTCTGACTGTGATGGAGTGTCCCTATCTCTGACTGTGTGATGAAGTGTCACTTTTTCTGTCTGTGTGATGAAGTGTCACTTTTTCTGTCTGTGTGATTAAGTGTCCCTATCTCTGACTGTGTGATGGAGTGTCCATATCTCTGACTGTGTGATGAAGTGTCCATATCTCTGACTGAGTGATGAAGTGTCACTATCTCTAACTGTGTGATGGAGTGTCCGTATCTCTGATTGTGTGATGAAGTGTCACTTTTTCTGTCTGTGTGATGAAGTGGCACTATTTCTGTGTGATTAAGTGTCCCTATTTCTGACTGTGTGATGGAGTGTCCATATCTCTGACTGTGTGATAGAGTGTCCCTATCTCTGACTGTGTGATGGAGTGTCCCTATCTCTGACTGTGTGATGAAGTGTCACTTTTTCTGTCTGTGTGATGAAGTGGCACTATTTCTGTGTGATAAAGTGTCCATATCTCTGAGTGTGTGATGAAGTATCACTATTTCTGAATGTGTGATGAAGTGTCCCTATCTCTGACTGAGTGATGAAGTTTCACTATTTCTGACTGAGTGATTAAGTTTCATTATTTCTGACTGATGAAGTTTCTTTATTCAGACTGTGGTGATCGTCTCTGTTTCTTAGTGATGAAGAGTCCCTATCTCTGATTGAGTGATGAAGTGTCACTATCTCTGACTGTGTCATGATGTATCCCAATTTGTAACTGTGTTTTCTGATGTCGCTATTTCTAACGTTTTGAAGATTGTTTCTGACTATGAAGTATGATGTCTCTGACAATATGGCAAGTTGTTCTTAAATCTGATTGAATAATGAGGTGTTCCTTTTTTGAATGTCCGATGAAGTGGCCCTTTTTCTGACTCTGTGATGAGGTGTTTCTGCTTTACGCATAGTAATACATTTTGCGCATTGTGTTTTTTTCTTTTGAAAATTCAGTATGAACTTCTTTAGAACTTAAAAAAAAGAATGATAGTATATTATAAACACGAGAACTCAGAAACCAAAGCCGATACGAAATGATATAATGGAGGTTGTGATATCAAAACGAAAGGAAGATGTAATGAATCATTGAATGTCGATCCCGAACGATCCAAGACAGAGTAAAACCAGACATTACGGTAGACACTGAAATATAGGGGTAAATCAGGTCATGATGACTAAAGTAATATTTCGTTAACATCTATCGAAGTACGAGAGGTCGAAACGCATTGCTTGAGTGTGATAATCGTAATCGGATCAGTATTCAAAATGGACACAAACTTGTCATACTTTATAAATCTTAAAATGTGTCAACCGTGTATGGTTAACAATAATGTAGCCTTATAATACATTGCTAAGAAAATTCTCTGTCTACTGTAAAATATTGAACACCATTGAATATAGTATCGACACAGTATTGTTTCCATATATAAGTATACTGGTAGACCATTAATACATGTAAGGAAAGCGATCAAGTAGTTTTATACTTACGACAGTACTGTGGAAAGTGTACATTTCTAGAAGATTTTGTTTAGTGCAATAGATGTTTATTACTTAAACTGCCCTCCTTTTTTTAACTGGAACGACAGATTTGTCCTACAAGGAAACCGAAAATTTAGTCGGAGTCAATATAATTGAAGATACTTGTAGCAAATTATTTTCAAGTTTGGAAATGAGCGCGTCATGTTTGTGTCGCCTTTAAGATACACAGGTGTCGGTGGTATCATCGCCGGCGATGACTTACAGATTTGTTCTGGAATGTTATTTTTAAACGAATTATTAAATCTTGGTGAATCGTGCTGGTATGAATTCGCCCAAATTCCCTTGCAATTTCCGATGTTCAGCCATATCCATGTGCTATTTGTGTGGCTGAAATGATACCATTGGCTAATTAAGATTAAAAGCTTCTAGATGATACCTTTTACAGGAAATACCAGATTTCAATTAAACTTGGCTATCCTAATTTTTACCCAAATAGCTTGCTAAATTATTCAATGAGGTCGTTGTGATCCGACTGGTTGGATCAAAATGTTTATAAATGTATACACATGTGTACTTATTACTCAGGCCCCGTCATTAAAATCGACAACCAGCCAAATTTTGCAAAGATTTAACTAAGCTGATTCTATATTATCAAATATGTAACAATACATAAGGAAATGCTGGTGCAGGCAATATATTTACACAGATTTCTCGTTATACATTTTGGCGTTTTCTTCAATAAGTATGTTAGTATGACAAAATATGTTTTCATTGCATTTATATTGGGTTGTTTGGGTTGAGCTCGTGTACTTTAATGCATCATTTTATAAATATCAAATCGGTTGTGGTAATAGTTACATTTAATACTCCTGCTATGAAGATGGTTTCATTTTAACAAGTTTTATAATGCTTGCCAAATTGGTATAAGAAGTGGTTAAGCCCGCCGCTTACATTTGCATGTTTTCTTTCATTTGAGACTGAGCATTTTTTATGTTGTCTAAGACAAGGTCCCAATCGTCATACCCATAATAGTCACATAAACATAATAAACATATTTTGAATGACGAGCTTTCAATTTGCACAAAATGTACAAAGAAAATAGCTAAAATAAACCATGTGGTTAAAGTATAAAGCCTTCAAATAATTACTTGGCATGTTTGTTTGTTTGTGTTTTACGTCCTATTAATAGCTTTGGTCATTTCAGGACGTGCCAGATTTTGGTGGTGGAGGAAGGCCGGGGTTCCCGGAGAAAACAACCGACCTACGGCCAGTGCCTGGCGACTGCTCTACGTAGGTCTCGAACCCACGACCAATTGGTCATACAAGCCTAAATGCAGCAGTTAAATGATCAGCGTTTAATTCGATCAGTACAAGGATCACACTTCAATTTTGTAGGAGAATGAATGAACACAGTATATTATCACCAGAAATACGAGGAGGTAGGGAAGGACCTACTGATTTTTTTGTATGTCAATGCAGAAATACAAACAAAGCAAACCTTCACACACCAAATGCACTTTTGGACCATTTGTGACTTTCATTGTATTGTTAGAATAGTCTTAGATACCATGCGCTTAAACAAAGGAAAGAACAAGATTCCACATATATAAAACGTTTTATTATATACCATTTAGAAACCCGATATACACATTGTATGTGCCAACAATTAAATAAACAATAGAACATTTTGTTTTTTCTTAAATATATCTGTTCTTACGCATTATTCAAATGCATTTCTTGTTGAAATGTATGAAATAACGGATACATACCATAACAAACAAAACAATACAACAAAGCAATTTCATTGTGTTTTAGCAATAGCAATTGTGAGCGAAGCAGTGACGTATTGTCTCTGTATGGTTTAGCACGTGCATATTTCTAAATCCAAGGGTAATCGTATTTTACCTTTTCGATGAGTACAGTCAATGAACAAAACTATACTTTATCTTTCACGCTCATCAAATGAGCTGCATAGTTAACAAGAAATGTGACAATGGATCGAATGCATAAATCTACATACTACATGTACATGTATAAGCCTGAACCGATGTTTTCATGTTTAAGTACAGAATTTTAAAATTTGCACACATGTGGTATTTGTTGAAAGTTTAGAACTTATACGAAACATGAAATTAAACGTAACTTCTTTTAAACCTCAAGAAGTACAATACTGCGTATAAATCGACATTAATCCAAGTTGAAATATTTGTAACAGATTGTAACAAATGCGAGATCTGACAACATTTGAATAAGACAATTAACTAATCACCAGCAGCCATTTTGCATGGTAGGCTGGTAGTTAAGATGGTCTGTGTTAAGTTTTAGAGAATTGGCAAAGTCGAGTAGCATTGTCACTGCAGCTGCGTCGGCCGTGGGTTTCCTTGACAACAGATGGACGCAGTAATTTGTCATGAAGAAAGCGGAAGTGCAGTCATACTCAATGGCGTAATTTTCGTCTAGGTATATAATCGTATAATCCGCCTGAAATATAGAAAACAAATGTTCTAATCTAAATTATTCAAAATATCCTACATTGTACCATTATGTGACATGAATTTCCCTTTAAATAAGCATAAATAATAAGCTTTGATATATTTTTATCGATGGTGAAGTGAAGTAGATTCATTGATGACATTTAAAAAAATTAAACATAAAGTTTGGCATATCATTTGAACAAGTATGTTTTCAAATTAACTTTAAGCAGAGCCAACACGCATAAAACTTGTGCTAAGATCGCAATGCGAGTACGTAGCTGTCTGTTATTATCGGATTCCTTTGCTTCATATTGTACTGTTATGGTTCCCTTCGTTTTTTTAATTACTGTTCATTTACTCTCCTTATTTAACGCTTGCTTGTGCTCAACATTTTCGTATTTTTGGTTTATCAATAAAGATGACAAGAAATCCATTGGGATACACATACATTTCGTATTATCAGGTTCTCTTACCAATTCAATATTTGAGGGTATAGGAAACTTTTTGTCGGTTTCGACGTATATATTTCAAAAAATAATTGACTACAAAAATGTATTTCACAATTTCATGATATTGTTACGTTATTGAACTTTTCGATGTTTTACAATATAATTAAAAAATAATAACCGTACAATAGTACATGTAAATTTGGATTACCTTGGGTGCAAGGAAGAAAAAACCTTCCTTCCAATGTCCCGGAACAACTTCACCTGTCAGAGCACCTATGCGTACATAAAATGTTATCTTGATCAAAACACGTATGAATATATAAATATATGTATTTTGTAGTATAAAGAATAACGCAGGTCTATCATTGATGATTGATGATTGAAACAAAAGTCAACAGAACGCATGTCTTACCAAATCACTTTCGAACTAGGATATCTTGAACACATACACTTTTCAGCTCAGAAGAAATGACCTTGATTATCATAGATATCTGATTCCTTTGAATGTGTGGTGCGATGCAGCCTAACCTGTGGCGTTGAGGAAGTCTCCAGTCGGTGACAGTTTTCGGCAGCTGTTGACTGCGCTTGCGTCCCCATTTGTGGCCCCAGTTTTGGGTTGAATTCCTATGGTGGTACACACACAGTCCTTCTCAAAGAATCCGCCCCCTGCTGTCTGGATCTTGCCTACCTCGTACCAAAGTCCATAATAACGTGCGTTGGTGAAATTGGAGGACGGGGGCGGCACCATGCAACCGGAAGCGGACACGAGAAAGGCATTGGAAACAGCCACACATAAAACCTGTCATATCAAAGGTTTTAACAATACAAAAATACCAAGTATAATACAACCCGTGTTATTGTACAACTCTATATACCAGATACATGAACGAAATTCATGAAAACTAAGTATAATGTACCACTTCTTTCCATGTGTTTTACGCCGATATCTAAACGTCATAGTAACTGATTTTACATTGGTTTATGAAACCAATACCTTAATAAACCATGATATCTTTGGGATCAATCAGATTGATTGGTCAGATTTATTGTTATGCAATTACAAATATTTTAACTGTTACTAACTTGAAAAGAAATATCATTACGGATATATGATTAAAATTAGTATGACAACAATAACATTTTTAATAATATTAATATTTGATGTTAAAATTAAAAGTCACAGATAGGGAAAATGTACTTCTATCTATATAATCAATAATACAGTTGATATAAATGTATATATATCCTAACTTAATATATAAACAAAGTTTACACGAAAAGTCTTATACAATGAATATTCCAAATTTCAGACGCAATGTCCTTTTATTGATGAAATCAATATTACATATTTGCCATATGATGGCATGGATGACGAATGACTCACCTGCAGAATCAGTAAAGTATACATAATTCGATGAGGAAGATCTGATGTTGTATTTGTTCGATACTGATTTCTTTGAGTGTCTTTGATTACTTATATAGTGTACAAGGCACATGTTAGCCAACGAGAGTCTTATCAGTATGACATTTCTATCACATGGTTAGCTTTCTAATAAGGAATAAACCACACATTTTTACCAGCTTGTTTAAGTTTCGGAGTTTTCTGAGAGTGTGGACGAATTATTCTATCTGGTCCCATTCATCTTAACTTGATTTCACTCAGCTCACCTTATCGCCAAATACCAAACAAATCGAATAAAAACCGGGTTTGAAAAACACATCCTCCATCAACAAGCTGACAAAATGCGAACAACATCTTGCTCACCACTGCCAAAAATTGAGAGAAATGAAGTTCTTGTCGAAAGAGGATAATTCAAAATTACCCTTTTTCTCTCTTATCTTCGACAAATAAGCAAACAAAGCGTCTATGAACGGTTATGATATTTCGTTCACAGATCAAGGGCATAACAACCAAACCATGCGTACAAACTAGAAAACAAGTTTGTCTCAATGAGGTTCTTGCATTTATAAGTCTTACAGGTACGATGTCCGTTTTGACCTCTGGTCGTTTCAAAAACACAGTGATATCTTATCTTTTGTACCTGGTCCCTGGTTTTGATTAGGAAAATATAATGTAACAAGTATGTAAGCTAAGCTAACAGTGCTTTAAAGATGTTGGTCCTGCATTTATATAAGGTCGGTGGACAGTGGGCAGGACACGTGCCACCTCTGACCTTTGTGATAGGACAATGTTTGGTAACTTTTGACGCGTGTTCCTCTTATGTCTCTATGTTTGTTTTCAGTCTTGAATGACCAACACGAGATTGTCTGTGGCTGGGAATGTAAGATCCCATTGATCCGCAAAGAAACATTTCGTTTTCATGCAAACATAATTCATGTATACCCAATAACATTTTGTTTCCGTTCAATAGTGGTTCAATCATAAGCAATTATATTTCGTTTCCATGCAAAAATGATTCGTTAAAATGCAATTACTTTTCGTTTCCATGTACTAACGTCTCGTTCATACACAATACTCTTTCGTTACCATGCAACACAATTTCTTTCCTACCATTAACTTTTTCTTTCCATGCAAATAATGATTATTTCATACGCAATGTCTTGTCAATCTCTTACGTTCCTATTATGGTTCATATTGTTTCGCAAGTACATGCACGAGTTTGATCAGTTAAAGTATGTACAGAAATTATACGTTATAGTAGATACAGCAATTATACGTTATAGTAGATACAGAAATTATACGTTATAGTATGTACAGCAATTCAACGTTATAGTATGTACAGAAATTATACGGTATAGTAGATACAGAAATTATACGTTATAGTATGTACAGCAATTCAACGTTATAGTATGTACAGCAATTCTATGTTATAGTAAATTCAGGAATTCTACGTTATAGTAAATACAGCACTTCTACGTTATAGTAGATACAGTAATTATACGTGATAGTAAATACAACAGTTCTAGATTATAGTATGTACAGCACTTCTACGTTATAGTAGGAACAGCAATTCTACGTTATAGTAGAAACAGCAATTCTATGTTTATAGCAGGTGCATCACTTCTACGTTATAGTAGATACAGCAATTCTCGTTATAGTAGATAAACCCATTATGCTTTAAAGTAGATACAGCAATTTTACGTTAAAGCAGTTACATAATTTCTACATTATAGTAGATACAGCAATTCCACGTTAAAGCAAGTACAGCAATTCTACATTATAGTAGATACAGCAATTTTACGTTAAAGTCAATACAGCAATTTCATGTTATATAACATACAGCAATTCTACGTTATAGCAGGTACAGCAATTATACGTTATAGTAGATGCAGTCATTCTACGTTATAGTAGATACAGCAATTCTACATTATAGTAGATACAGCAATTCTACGTTATAGTCAATACAGCAATCCCACGTTATATTACATACAGCAAGTATACGTTATAGCAGGTACAGCATTATACGTTTTAGTATATACAGCAATTCTACGTTATAGGAGATACACCAATTCTACGTTATAGTAGATACAGCAATTCTACGTTATAGTACGTACAGCCATTCTTCGTTATAGTAGGTAAACAACTATACGTTATAGTAGATGCAGTCATTCTACGTTATAGTAGATACAGCAATTATACGTTATAGCAGGTACAGCAATTAAACGTTATAGTAGATGCAGTCATTCTACGTTATAGTAGATACAGCAATTCTACATTATAGTAGATACAGCAATTCTACGTTATAGTCAATACAGCAATCCCACGTTATATTACATACAGCAAGTATACGTTATAGCAGGTACAGCAAGTATACGTTATAGTATATACAGCAATTATACGTTATAGGAGATACACCAATTCTACGTTATAGTAGATACAGCAACTCTACGTTATAGTACGTACAGCCATTCTTCGTTATAGTAGGTAAAGCAGTTTTGCTAATGTGATCAAATTCGTTTGATATGAAACGAATGTGAGGAAAACAAGGCAGAAGGTACGTTACAACAAATTCCAGACCCTGAATATTTCTTTTCTCTTTTATTCATGTAACCTGAAACAGTCAAATTAATTGTATAAATGTATAAAATGTTGTATTTAAAAAGCATTTGAACAGTATAAACAAACTTTTTCACTACGTCATTATCCTCAAATGCACATATATACTATCTCTCCGCGAACTTCCCTAGGGTGGTTTTCAACTGGTAAAGTTCGTCCATGTTTATGTTCGCAAAGGGCTTCGGAAAAGAACATTGGGCTCGTTGACTTGTCCAAGATAAAAGCAATGTCCTGCACCTGTCGTCTATGAACTGTTACCTACCTTAGAGGTGGGTGACAAAGTTCATCCAGCATCATCAAATAAGGGATCAGTCATTAGAGTGGCCATTATCTCCATATCCATGTTCTTGTGTCCTCGAGCAAGGTGCTGTTTGAACAGACCCCGCTGAATCCTCCTTAACATGTTACTTAATTAATTGTATATCAATTTATCGTTCAGCTTTCGGCCATGTTTTAATTCCTTATTTTCTTAGAGTATGAAAAGTGATATAGTTTAGGGGACGGTCACTCTCGGATTACATTTCTATGGCTAATGAACACTTTATTTTGATAAAATAAAACATAATAATGATTTATAATTCGAGGTTATTATATACCGCTTTATCGCAACCCAGTGCGTAGGTCGTCTCAAAGCGGTTCACAAATTATTATCCGTGGTTATAGGGCCTTTGCAACCAGCCAATATCTTTCTCAACTCCCTGGGGAGCATATAGCCAGTGCTGCCATTTCGGCACTCACAGCTAGCATTCAATAATTCAAGCACTGCCCAACCACGTACTTATTTACAGCTGAGTAGACTGGAACAAGCGGAGTAAAGTATCTTGCTCAAGGATACAACACAGTGCAGTGCCGTGACTCGAACCCGCAACATTTTGGTCACGATACCCGGTGTCCTACCACTAGACTGTCGTGTCTCCATAAAACAATATTAAAACAATTCCCAAGCGTTCAGGGTTTATCAGTCGCGGTTCCAATCGATTGAGCAAAGTTTGATATAAATTATTTTTACAGTAAACTTTGTGTCGGAGGGATAGGGGATACATGTTGTTGTCTCATTTGCTTTACCTTGTTGTAATTTCTCTTGTTTATATTAAAATCTACACAGTGTGCAAGACGTTTATATTATTTTTATATGGTTTACATTAACACAATAATGCTCTAGAATGTTTAAATCTAATTTTGACGTTAAAATAGATATTTTATCAAGAAAACAGAAAAAACATGAACAAGATAATGGTATGTTGTCAATTCCCTGTAAAATAGCAGACATCGATTGTAATAATTAGAACGTAAAAGCAATTAGAAATACCAGGGCGTCTATTCATGAAACCGTTATCATGCTCAAAGCAAGGATCTTGTGCTCAAACTGGATTTCTTGATCCCGTTATCAATTAAGAAAATCATCTTCTTTGTCAATGATCTAGAAAAACCATTGAAGCCGGAAACTGTTTTCAATATTTACATTTGACTTTGACATCGTTTGAAATTATTTAAGCGAGTTACAAGGAAAGTTGGTTTGAGTACAGAACCCATGCTTGAGCATGAGAACGGTTTCATGAAAACGGACCCATGAGTTTAATCAGGAATAAGTAGGAAATTTAGAAATTATTATATATACATTTGTAAGTATTTCTTGAAAACTGTCATATGATATATACATTACATAAACATACCAGTAGTTCGATTTGAACAAAAATCAAGAGGTTTATATATGTATATATATTTCTTTAAAAATGGTCTCGCTGATGGGTAATTCTTACATTTGATTAAATTAGCATTTGAAGCCCCCTGTGTTCTTACAAAAACAATTAAGTCACGTTAAGCTTTGAGAATGAATACAAATTTGTTAAATATATCACTGTTATTGAAAAAAATGTCTATGGGTAAAAATCCATATACTACTTTATATTCAACATTAAATATTTGTTGTTAGCTTTTTGTATTGTACATATTTGCCATACCATTCTTATCGCTTATCGAATAATGACTTACAAATGTACAACCAGATCCTTAAATTATTTGTTATGAATTGTACATCATCTGTCAAATATGAACCTTCCATGGTGTAAGTCTCCATGGTTAGTTTAGTTTGGTTTGGTTTTGTTTAACGTCCTATTAAAGCTAAGGTCATTTAAGGACGTGTCTCCATGTGTGTAGAGTTTGTATGCAGAAGACAAGGTAAAACTCTTCTCGCATTCCTTACGGTAATGTTTTTATCATTTGTGTTGATTCATATAAACAATGTAAACACTAAATCTTGTCTATGTATGTCTTTATTTGGAAATAGATTTATTACATAAAATTTCAAAGGGACTGGGATGCTCAACGTACTCGCAAAGTCAACACGAAAACTTCAGAAACATAAATGTGACGATCATCCAAGATATAATGAACGCGAGATGTGAGATATAACTAGTATTTTGAATGGATGAAATGCTTTTATATCATCATGGATGACAATGACAATTTGATTTTATCGGTAGCTTTCCGCCGCTGTAGGTAACCACATGCCGAATCACTCCTAATTATTTATCAATGAGAACAAGGAGCTGCACAGTTTATCACTGCTTGAACGTAGAGTCAACACCGTTTCTTTCTCGCCGGCTTCAGACCAAATTAAGCAGGAGAAAATGTTACACCATTTTTTGCCTATTCCAGCCGTTGTATAAAGAGTTTGAGATATTTGTCATACACCATGAAACCCATCAGTGGGCATAGGGCCGTCTAACAGCCGACATTTAACCGTGAGTAGAGGATTGTTTTGTGAACGGTTAAAAAGTGTGTTTTCTATAACATTGAATTACCTCTTTGTTATCATGCAGTTATTACAACATGTACAATGCATTAGAAAAAACTGATACCATTCGACATTCGATTTTGACAAAGTCTTTTTATCATAAAGCAATCGTACGTATCCGGTCTGATGGTAAAAACCTAGCGATAAGGCTACTTTGAAGAAGTATCAGTATTAAGTTGTTTGTGGTTTAAAATGGGTCTAGAACATTGAAGTTTTCTCGGCCACAAAAACTATACCAATATAGAGATTGTAGGATATGCAATTTTTTTTTATTTTTTTTTTTCAAATCTGAAACGATTTTTTAGTGTAAATTAATCAGCCCGTTGATTTATATATATAAAAAAATCTTGATACTAATGCAACAATAACTTAATGATTTGAAGAAACGCTGTTTTTGACTTGTTAAAAGTATTTTAATTTTTGTTTGCCCGTGTCGCGTCAAATTATACAGAGAAATGATTATCCAACGATAGAAGAGAAGAGTGAACTAGGAATAAGCACATGACTGATCACGTGAACAACGCCATCTTCAGCCTCGAGGTCAGTTTCTTGTAATGTTGCTACATTATTAAGCTTTGTGACGCCATCTGTAAAAGGAACAACAGCATATAATGCGTTTAGTGAGGGAATTATAAAAAAACATCTTCTCTCAACAGCTAATTGTGAAATGCACAAGATATATAGACGATCTTTAAACTTCAGAAAGCTTTGCAACAGTTAGTTTTCCGCAAAAAATAATTCCATACAGGCTTGTTGATATCCTGAATTATTTGTTCGTGTCTTCTTGTATTTATATATAAATTGAGTAAAAGTGATTGTGTAAAAATATGACCATCAAAAGCGATGAGTAGAGTACTGACCTGAACCAACAGTGACCGAGATGTAGTGACCACTGTACGCGGTGGTTATACGTCCGTTGTGGTCAAGAGATTTCTCGTGGAGGGTGCCGCGGTGGAGGTGGTATTCAACCAAACCTGTTGAGAAATGACAAGGATAATGAAACCCAGAAGATGTATGGGAAATTCTGGTCAATGTCCCCACTGATGCCTAGGGTTTTAAGGAAGAATGGACATTAGAAGTACTGCTTTCAGGCTACGTTTTAACTTACTTTCATATTTTTTTTATTTATCTCCTCACCTTTGATTTACGATTTTTCATTTCATTTCAACACATTTTATTCAATTGGATGGAATAGCAGGCAAAGCCTATATAAATTCTCTCCAACGGTTGCTAAAGTAATGTTGTTGTTGTTGTTTTATTTGATTTAATTTTTCCCAAAATTTTGAAATGAAAATTAAAAACACAAAAATTAACATAACTGAAATATAAATACATTCACACTTCTAACATCACACACAAAACACTTAAACAGTTATTTGTTGTTTGTTTGTTTGTTTGTTATATAAGCTATCAAATCACACAGCAGACATTGACCAACAGTCCATGTGCTAACATATGCACAGGTCACAGTTGCCAAAACTGTTAAGTTATTGTAATTTTAAATGCAAACAGATAGCTAGTCTATGTGTAATTCAATGTTTAAGATGGACACTGTAAAACAAGACAGATTGAACAAATCTTACAACAATCAACCAAGATCAACTGACAACTCCTATGTCCGCAGAAGAATACCATCTATAGAAAAGTAGGTTAAGTAGAAAAAAGGATCTTTTATATAATTAAAATGGGAATAGAAAAGTGTAAAAGTATAAAGTCATGGCTGATTTACGATGGTATACAGAGATATGTAACATATGAATATTTCATGTTCACAGTAATAAGCATGCGTAGTTATACAGAGGGATACAGTATCATAGTTACATAGGCGTACTGGAGTTATAAGTAATGATAAATACTTTCATGCAGGGGAACAGACATAACTAGCGGCAGTATACTGTATTTGGATCGATCCAATACAGTCCTATCGAGTGTTTTTCCTGTTGATTACATATTTTATTTATTGCACAGAAGCCACTTAAGCAGGGATAATGAGGTAGATCTGAGCTTTGAATGCACCGCTTTGAATAATGTAGATATCACGGTTTGGATATAATGAATGAAGAAGTAAACATTGATTCGAACCTTGAGATCTACAAAATTATGTTTACTTTAATTATACCATCTCCGGTAAAATGGAAACATAAGATATTGACATAAATACTTAAAATCTGAAATCGTCTACAAGTAATGAACAACACGAAAAACTGATATGGTTTAAAATTGGGAGGCATGCATAGTTTGTGATATATATTACGATTTATTGATACCATTTTGACCCGTTGAAAAAGTCTGCATAAATGAATGAAACTTCAGACACTTTTTATATGGTTTCGCATTTTGTCTTTAGAAACTACAGCGAGCATGTTTGAACTTATTAACAAAGAAGGTCGTGTAGGTACTGATCAAACATCTTTCAGAGAGTAAAACAGTTTGTTCAAGATTGTGCTCTATGATTTCTAAAAGAAGCAAGCACGACATCCATATACATCCACCGTCACATACACGTACACACATGGCGCGTGTGAAAAGGACATTTTAATACCAAAACTTTAAAAGAGCTGAGAAAAGGAACTTACGGTGAGTCAGGGAATAGCTGGATTTGATTTTCTGGAGAATGGAGGGATCCAGCGAGTTGATGGCAGCATTAGAAGGAGCGAATAATGTGTACCGTTGCCCTGGAAACAAACAGGCGATATGTGACCGCACAAACGTATTGATCAAATGTGTGACACGGACAACTGTTGTTAAATAATGCATTCGGTAAAATCAAATCAAAGAATTGGTTTTAACACATTTGTAGATGTTTAAAAAGTATTATTTGGCGGTAGCATTGAAATCAGTACACGTCTCTTAATCAAATATGGCAAATCGTGGTATACAGGTTATCGGAATGTGACGTTATTCAATACACCTGGCACTGTTTATACGGCCACTTTTCAAGAATGTTCCTTAACTTATTCCGGACACAGGACAACATTTTTGGACTTTTCTTATTTTCCTTAACAGTAATGCATTCATATAGAAAAAGGAAATCTAGAAACTTCTTAAATTAATGAAAGACTGAAACTGGTACCGGGAAGTGTCTGTTTTCAAGGGAATTCATATTTACCACTGTTTCTATGTTAACCTAGGATTCTTTTTAAGGGTGGTTTCTTTGTCAAAGATTGTTTTGAAAACTGGTTAATACTGTTTCGTCAAATATCGACTGAACTAATCAGCTTTTCGGTTGGTGTTAAGTTCATACAGTCTCCTCAAATCATGTTTCAATCTACATGCATGACATAAGAATGGCAGTGCTCACGTCAGATAAGCTAACCGATGGTGTAGTTGTACCTGAAGTCCTGTTGAGGACGCCCTCTAGGTGCGCCACCTTGACGAGCTCGAGGAACTCGCTGATGTTATAGTCGGGGTTTAAGAGAATCTGGTCAATGGTTCCCTCGGGGACACTAAGCACCTCGTCGACAAGGTAGATAACGCCGTTGGAACCTTGCAGCACGTCCATTGATACGACCTTAGCTTGGTTGAAGAAGATTTGCTGTGGAAGTGAAATTCGAAGAAAGGATGTCATTATATATTATGAACAAGGTGGCATTCGTGTTTGAAATAAGCACAACAATGTAGTAGCTTCACCTAAGTCAGAGTGAAGGTGTGTGAATGGGTGTCATATCTGTTTCATATCTGTGTCATATTGTGTCATTGTACATATTGTATTGTTTTGTTATATATATTGAGGAAAGCATCTAGTAGCCTCCGGGATGCACGCAATCCTCGTTAAAGAGATAAAGAATTAAAGAACTTTGCATAAGATTATCATGCGTTTGTGAAACCGATGCATTTCGAACTTTGGGGGTTATTATAACGTTGTGAATCTATACGACTGAGTTTATATAACGTATTATTGTGTCGCATTTTCTCTGATGGTTTCCTTAAAGTCCAATTATATTTCATTTTACAATTATTTACATTTTTTTCCTTAACAATTCTAGTTTGACATGCGCATGAAACCAGAAATGACTTACACCTCCGTTCATATACACCCTAATGGCGTGACCATTTAGACTTGTCAGGACTTCTCCGGATTTAAGGTCAAAGGTGAAGATCTCTCCCTTGATGACATGGTACTGCAGAATGTTAGCTAGCACATTAGGATTGGCAGTGAGGTTGGCGGCAACGTCGCTTGGGATCTTGGCAAATGCGGAGTCAACAGGTGCGATGATGGTAAAGGGGCCTGTGGAGAGGGTTCATTATAAAGTGTCATTTATACTAGTATGTTGTAGAAGTATATTTCTAAAGTAATACTACATTGGATATGTCAGATCGACTAATGGTCATATAACGCATATTGTTCATATGTGAACATTTAGTGTTGATTTACAAACACTTATTCCGTCTTTGCGTAATGCAGAGTTATCTTCTCTTGTGAGCAGGTATTGATTGTTACGTCATTTGTTTGTGAGAGTAGCGTCATCAATGTTTGAGAAAACGACCTAATTTTCTCACACAAACCAATGACGTAACAATCAATGCCTGCTCACAAGAGAAGATAACTCTGCAATACGCAGAGACGGAATTGCTCGAACGTGATTATTAAGCTAAGATTCGTCAACTTTTTATGCTCATGAGAGGAACAGTGACAATAAACGTTGAGAGTGTCGATACATTAAAAATTAGCAATAACTATTATTTCGGATAACTATAATTGACCTGGTCAGAAATGAACAATTTGACAAAAGGATTGAATTGAGAAAGTTCTCGATTTGTCGACTGAAGTCATCTAGAATCAAATTATTTATTTCTGCTAAGGTAAGCAAACATTCCAATATTAACAATACGCTTTGTCAATTGTGAGAGTATCAGCTATTTTCGACGTCACTAATCGTTCACAATATCGTCACATGAACATTAATCGAGGTTAAAGCAGCACTCTATGTTCACATATGAACATAAAGTGTTCTCAAATGAGCAATAAATTTTAATTGTAACAATAATACTGAGCTGAAAAGTCTCAAACTGATAAAGAAACATAGACAGAAAGAGAACCTCGAATAAAAAAATGGCTATGGGCTATAACTTCAGAAAAATAATCAGTTTTAATAATTATGATTTTGTTGGGGATAAAAAGATATATCCCAAAATTAGGAAGAGTGACTGTTACTTGTATTATTATGAAATCTCATAATGTAAGCTGTCACATGTTAATTTGTAATACGTGAGCTGATACGCATGTAACCTTCGAACGATTTTGGGGAAAACACCCTATAATTTTGCATGGAAGTTTAAGTAGCCGCGCAACATAATACCCAAAATATATCTACCTTGATCCCTGATGACGTCAGCAAGTCCTGCGGTGGCCAGGAATTGCGTAAGCGTGGTTGCATTGTTGGCGTTGGCAAGGTCCACGAGGTTAGGGAGTGTGGCCGCAGCCAGAGAGAGGACGGAGAGGAGGACTACACAGGTCTTCATCGTCAGACAGTGGGGACACGACTCGGCTCGGCGCTAACGGACACACAAATGGACGAAACGTGAATATGTACAGATGTCAGGTTCACGTAATGACGTCAAAGTTCTGTTAAATACCTTATCTCATCCCATCGAAATATAACATTCGTGGCCCATCCAGGATTGGTTGCGTATGGTAGGTCACATGGTTATACAATCACAAACCCGATAGATATGAAATTCTTGTACATTACATTTCCAATTATAGAACAAATGTTACGTATATTGCTATTATAATTGTGAAGTGAGATCGCGTTTTTGCCATTGTGCAATAGGATATCTACGTTATGTCTGTTAAAGCCAAGTGTTACATATGATCCGTGTTGAATAACTGTTTGCCCGCGAACACGCAATAGGATATTTCATACGGAGCATGCCTGTTATCTTTGAAATATGAACAAGAAAACTCCCGTGAATGTTCCACTTTTCTATAATACGAGGTGCAATACCGTGTTGCCGAGGTCGTGAGGTCGTGACTCATTGGTTGACCTTGAGATAGGTGTGATAAGAGGTGTCAGCTGGCAGTGCCACACCAGAGACATCAGTCAGTCCCCGAGTCTCCGCCATACCGACCGCCAACATGCTTGTCCTTCTCGCCCTCGTCTTGCCCTGCGTCCTTGCCCAGTCCAACGACACCATCATCGATGCCCTGAAGGCCAGCTCCCGAGAACAAACACTTGTCGCCCTCATCCAGCAGGCTGGACTCACAGACGTACTCGCCACAGGAGGTTGGTAATTTATTATTTTTTTCTTATGATTTCATGGAAAATTTATGTGATACGATATCCAGATATTCTATAAGAACCACAAGATCATCGATAGCGGTTTATCAATGTACACTGTAATACGTGAAATGTTCGCTGTGTATAAACATTCGTGATTTCCATTGTTGAGTGTTGAGTATGGGAACCACGAATATAAACGAATTTAAGTAATATTCTTGACAACTTTCCGTTTGATGGAATATCCATAAAAGCTTGAACCAGGAAACGATCTTCATAGCTTCAAACCACGAAGGAAAATACCAATAAACATTCCATGCTATACAGTACATTTCATTTAAGAAAAAGAAACTAAAATCACGGTAAATTAATCAGGAGTGTTAAAAGTTTGAATGCAAACGAATACTCATAGTAATTGTCTTATACATATTACAAAGAGGTGGTCCTTCAGTTTTTATACGTCGATCCAACACCAATCTTATTTATCATATTGAAGTTAGAAGTTGTAAAGAGCTTATAGCATCTGATTTTACAACTTTGTTTCAATTTACCCAAAATCCCGGACTCTAAACATGAAAATATTAGTACGTAATTGTCCTTAGACATCACTTGCATGTTTTAACTACCAAATGATATACGTTATTTTATTGTTTTTAAATGTGTTTTTAACTGGATTTCTTTGTGTTCTCCTGAGATAGACCAACAAGCTGTGTGTAATAATAGTAGGTAATAATTGCTAAAACCACATGGATATTTTGTTCATAATCTCAAACACAGGAAAACAGCAAAACTTCCTACGGTATATTAATAAAACAGAAATTTATCAAACCCTATATATATGAAGCGTGGAATAAAACATTTGATACATCTATAAGAAAATCAAGATGGTCTGAAATATCAGAATTCATATTCAAGAAAATACACGATAACAGAATTGTTCAATTTAAATATAAACTTATTAATCAAATAGTTCCTACACAGCAACAACTTGAAAAATGGAAAATTTCAAACACCCCAAATTGTAAACATTGTGGGAAATGTGAAGACTATAAGCATTACTTTGTAGAATGCTCCTATTTAAAAACGTTTTGGGAAAAGATAAATTCAGCAATGTCAACATGTAAAATAAACAAAAGCAGAATGTTAGAATTTATAGTAATGGGAAACAACATCAGCGTCCCTGTATATGAAACACCCAACATTATATATACACTAATAGGATACTCCATTTACAGAACATACCACATAAGTGAATGCAAAACCTTATCAATAAATGTTATAAATATATTGAAACAAGATCTGGAAAACTATTTATGGAAAACGAAATCAATACAACAGAAAAAAGACCTGAACCTTTTTTCTTCTAGCATCTGATACACTAGTTAATATAATGATAACGAAATATTGTAGGCCAGAGTGTTTCTAGTATATACCTACTCATCATAGCGATCCACATTTCTACTTTCTGTTTTAGCGTAACGAGTTCCGCGTCTTCACAGAAACAAATAAGCTGATCTTACAATACAGCTTCATCAATATCAACCCCCCAAAAAAACACCTTTCACAATAGAAAAATCAAAACAAACATGTTAGACATACTCGAATGATTTACAAGCACGTTTAGGACTGCCTTATATTACCACAGCGCGGCGTGTTTCGATCTTGCTACTATTAATACACACAGCCAAGGTCAAGGCCGACTGGTCCTGGAAGTGAGGCCCAGTACAGGGTAATCCACCTGGAGGCGCGGCAAAGGGAGTGTATGCATATATGTATGTAAGGATAATGTGTACGGTAACTTTGAATGTAATTTTGAATGTAAGAAAAAATATTAAATAAGGCAGTGAAAAAATAAAGAAATAATAATATAATTACTAGTAAGTATGAAAGGAAGTATGATAGCCCTCTTGTATGAGGACACATGATTGTGAAGATGCTGATCCCGGGGCTCCCCAACCTCGGCAGTATCCTAAATGTGCTGGGGAAGTAAAATGTTTGAAAAAAAAAACAAAAAAAAACAAAACAAAAAAACCTTGGGTAGACAGGCAGTTACACCTTTCGGTAACGCGTAATCGTTCTAATACAGAGTTGTATCACCTCCTTAGGGCCATTCACGATCTTCGCCCCTGATGACTCCGCCTTTAATCGTCTCCCACCATCGGCTCTCGCCGCGCTGAAGAACGACACCAATGCCTTGGCAGAGATTCTTAAATACCACGTGGTCAGTGGCACATACAAGATAGCTGATCTGAAGGTTAATGAGATGATGATAGAAACGCTGACCGGAGATCAACTCAGAATCAACGACTACTTGTACAAACATGTAAGATTTCTTATTCAATGGTCATCCTGAAGCATCCTTCATAATAAAATGATCCCTACTGAAATAATAATGGTACATGAAACGTAATGATGATGTAAGAATATATATTTCGTTCATTATCTCGAAACCAGACTTAGTGGAATGCACAGTAGTTTTTTTATTTCTTTAATATTTCCTTTTAAAAACAATTGTCCTGCAACTTTAAGTAAGGAAGAAAACGGCTGGACAATTTTTTATTATTATTTTTTCTCTCCACTAAATAATCAATTTACTATTTATATTATAATTTTGAGAACGCTTTAGACAATAAACATATCTTATGAGATATCATACTATTTCATATAGCGTATTCAAAATTTCTCGATACAGATGATAAATTGAAGAGATGGAGACGGAGATTGTGTAATGCTCAATCATTCCAAATCATCTACGAGAATTGATGAACACGTGGTACAATGTATCACAAACGGGATAATGCGTTTCTCATATATGACTGTAAAGCTCTCTATGGTGATAAAGAATGAAGCGGAATCCAAACGAGCATTTGTCACAAAAAAAAACATTTCAAAAGAATACTGGAATGTGAACAAAACCCGTAAATCGTACTTAAAAGCGATAAAACTGTTTCATTATAAACACAGAATAGATTTCCGCGGAGCCTTTGAAAAAGCATTAGAAGAATAGGACAAGGTCGAGTCTGTGTAATGTTACGTTCACAAATAACAAACCGAGGCAGTGACAAAGAAACCACAAGGCAAACTATTGATTACGACAAAAAAAAAATCAAAAATCATACAAGGTAATAGAATATTTACAAAGGAAATCAGGATTATTACCATGAAATTTGCTCATAGTCTTCGACTTCGGCAACCTGCATCTTTCGAAACTGTGTTGTAAGTTTGTCTGTCAGCAGTCGACATCTATCACGGAACAAACTCTTGAGAACCGAATCAGCTGTGACTGGTAAACATCATATGTAGGAAAGCAGGGATGTTATTATCGAGAAAGGGAAAGTTCACCATCGGAATATCGAACTCATCACACTTTTTGTACAGGTTTAGTAGTAAGCCCTGCCGACATGTTGTAAATAAAGATGAATATCAACTGCTGATACAGAGAAAGCAGCTGCAATGTCTTTAATTTCAAGTTCAGGAGGGTATTGACAATTGACGTTGTTAATAAAAGTATTGTTATTTATTGGCAAAACCTTTCGACTTAACTTGTGATTAAAAGTGAAATTGAAGGACAGATAAGCTTTTTCGTCCTCCTTTGCTAACAAAAACAAGTCGGATAGACATGACCTTTCAATTAAAGTCAATTCCATATCATCACATGGGAATAGTAGTTATAAATGCAAGGCAATCAATTCTTGTGTAGTTGATGACCACTTCCTGGTCACGTGATAACCGATATTCTGTTATTTGATTGGTAGTGTCAATGAAAAGCCTCATTAGACAACAGATATACCGTTCCAGTTGGTTTATCACAAGAATAGTACTTCATGGTTAAATCAGACAACAATTCATGTTAGAAATCACCTTAATACATTTACATTCATTATTTTAAAATTATACTCGGGTATAATATGTTTATTTGCTACTCTTGGGCCAACTGGCAAATTCAAATGTTAATTTACAGAGAATCACGATAGAGGGCGCCTCTATAACCTTTGCCGACAAGATCTGCAGCAACGGAGTTATTCATCGTGTTAGCCAAGTTCTCATGCCCCCTAAGGGGAGTATCGTGGATGTCCTCCAAGATGACGGACACTTCAACACACTTATTGCTGCTGCTCAGGCCGCTGGTCTGGTCGACGCTCTGTCAGGTACGATATAATAAACCTAATTATTATGATACATCGTAGCTACATAAATACGCAGTTCTATATTTAGAGAGATTCGTCTTTTAGCTACGACAGCATTCCAAGTCGAGATCCTGAGGCATCAGTGTGAAGAAAAAAACCTGCATCAAAGGTCTTAATATATCTCTAAGTTCATATCCTTGACACTCGAAGGGTTACGCTCACTTTCGCTCTCTGCACCCCTAGAATAAATCATAGCAAAATTGAAGGTTCAGTGTACACCACTTTGTGGACGGGACAAGAAGACTACTATTTCGATCTTTTGATGTTCATCAAAAGAATCTCGCTGTCACGTAACGATAAACATTGACAGACTTTGAAGTCGGGTGTCGCTCCTTTGTAATCTTCAAAAGACAGGTTTCAGCCTTGCGATTGGTCAGTTTTGTTTTACCGGAGACCAATCAACAGCTATCTTCGTGCCTTCAATTTTGAGTTGAGTTACCAAAGAGATAATGAAAATGATAAGAATGGAAAAGAATAGTTGATACTATGTTTTAATGTTTGAAAGTCGGATCGTTTGAATTAATATCAAGAGTTCTTCCCCACAGATGGGCCCATCACCCTCATGGCGCCTGAGGATAGTGCTTTTGCACGTCTTGGAAATGACACCGTTTCTAAACTCCTAGCCAATCCAGATATTCTTGCAGGTAATACATGACAGGCGAGTTACCAGCTTTCCGCTTCACTAGAGCAGTGATATTAAAAATTAAATATGCAAATAAGTTTGAAGTTTCTTTTTGGTGATGAAAGCCTAGCTTTGGATTTAAATTCTAATTTATTTAGAAAATTGCAAACTTTTATTAGGTCCAGCGAAAGATTCAGAAAATAACATGTATGTACATATGTAATTTTTGACTTTCTACCAGTACTTGTACTATTTGTAATTGTCTGTCTATGAAATCACTTGTTTTTTAAATGTTGATAAAATTGCAATAAATTGTGCCAAATCCCTTGTACCCTTTTAAACAATAAAATATGTTAAAAGTAAAACAGTCAAAAAATATCACGACAGCATGTTAAGTTACTCTTGAAAAGGAAACAATATATTGCGGGACTCAAACACCGGACGTCATATTGTTATTTTATCGTTCTAATTTTTGTCTGAACTACCTGGTCACCGGAAGTGTCCTGCCCCAGTTGTGCTACGTTCATTTATATACAAAACAAAATAAAGGGGAGGTAACTGGTTGTACGAAAAACCAGAGTGTGATGGGACACTGTAAACATACTAATGTAACATTAGTCTTTTAGATAAAGAAATCATTTGACATTTCTGTCATTTTATTTCCGTAGTAATGAAAGTATTCCTTGTTATTCAACTCGTGTAGTTTTATTCGGAAGTCAATTATTATTTTCTGCTGTTAGAAATGAAACTTGATTGTGGCTTATTTTTCACGATTCATTCATTCGTGAATACAAGGGTTTCACTATTCTATCATTTGTTTATTAAAAACCATCAACCCCTGGTAACCAGGAAGTCGGTACTGGCCATATTGTTCGCTTACAGTCGTACAACAGAGGTATTGGTGTTCCTTAACAAGTATTGTTATCTTTAAAAGCGACATTGAATGTAGTTGTTATGATTGGTTTAGTTTGATCCAGAAATCGAACATTCAAGACCAAATGATAAAAAGGTGAAACATGTGTAATATAGAACTAAAGAACTGTTATTATCTTGAATACTCTCAAATATGAAGTATCTTCCCTGTTTCGTTTCTTTAATATGCTTCCTGTGGTCACTATATTATACAGTTATCCGCCATTCAATGATAGAATATCCCTCGACAAGTTCATGATGACTAAACAATTACTTATCACTTCAACGGAATAGCGTTACGGCTGTTTATTTGAAAATGTGTAAATAATAAATTAAATAAGTAATAGATAAATAGGATACATAAAAATGATTAAATATGAATACAAATAAGTAGCTATAGAGAATGATGTTGGCATCCCCTCGAATACTCGACATAATACCAGTTATATGATAGGCCATGTGTATTACAGGTACTATCATTCCTTTAGAATACTAGACTTTTACTTGTTGCCATTACAGAGATTCTGAAGTACCACGTGATCCACGGCAGTCTGTACTCAGCAGGCATGCATTCTGAATACCTAAACACACTTGAGCTCCACGACCGCGAGAGACTCTATGCCTCGTTCTCAGGTGAGTTGTTGTTTGCCGTGTATTGAAAAATTGAAAATAATTGTGTCTATAATCCTGACGTCTTTTGCTTACATTAAAGTGCTGATATCTTAGATAGTATTCCGACAATTATTTGCCAATTTTCTTGAACTACTAATTGTTGAGTACGATTTTTTTCGAGAGTGACAGATTTACTCAAATACTTCGAAGCAGTCATTGGTCTGACAGTTAGCGCTGTCGTCATTCCGTCTTTGCGTATTGCAGAGTTATCTTCTCTTGAGAGCAGGTATTGATTGTAACGTCATTGGTTTGTGTGAAAAAATTACGTCATTTTCTCAAAAACTGATGACGTTACTCTCACAAACAAATGACGTAACAATCAATACCTGTTATCAAGAGAAGATAACTCTGCAATACGAAAAGACGGATTACTTACTGTTACGTCATAACAATGTTTGTTTCTTATAGGATACACCGTTATGGTCGACGGAGCCCGCGTCGTACAGAAAGACATGAGTGCCACAAACGGCGTCGTCCACAAGATTGATCACGTCCTCATTCCTAGTAGCCTTAAGGCAAAAATTGCTGCACTCTAAATATGCTCACTTGTTGATTAAAACTACCACATTCTGTGATCAAATTATGAAGTTGCTTTCTAGTTGTTGTTTTTTATCATTATATTCACTTTTAAAACAACAAATACAAATGTTTTTAATCTCCCTGAGTGTTTTTTTCCGTTTATGATACATTTTAAACCAAAATAGTGAACAGCTTTTTCTTAGGAACAAAGTCGTGTTTTCTATACTTTTTAGTTCTGTCCAGCGACAAACATCAATCTGAATACATTAGAAAATGTCTGTCATAATTCTAATCTGACGTCACTTCACGATGGGTTAGTCGTCGGTCGGTAACACCAACGGTATTACAAAAACAACCACAACGTCTTCGGGAATAGAAGTGTGATAGTTCCGGCTGTTATTATATATATATCTAAATTTTATTTATTTTACAACAATTATGAATCAAGTTTTTATAACCTATATTAATCACTCTTGTTGGCCCGGATGTTAGCGCGCCGGGGTTCTTAATGTAGGAGGAATCCGGAGTACCCAGAGAAAACCCACGTGGTCGGGCAGATCGGGAAATCGAACCCCGGCCGCTTTGGTGAAAGGCAAGTGCGCTATCCACAACGCCACCCGACCACCCGACCACCCGTCTGTTTTTGATTTATGACAAAAGTATTGAACGGTAGGATTATCTAATTGTTGTATAACATAAATGTTATAATGTTTTCAACCACGTTTGCGATGTAACGACACCTTTCATTGGTTAATAATCCGGTATCATTGGACGATATACCATGCGCGTGCAAGTAGTATTTTCCAGCAGATCAACTCTCTTCCAAATACGTTCCCGCAATTTGATCTCTAGTTCTACTTCAAACATGTCAAGATCACGGTCAGAATACATATGGTCGGTCCGCCGAACTTACCGCGAAGGTGACTTGAAATAGTGTTTGCAAGTGGGGTTTTTTGTAACTTAGAATTTTATTCGGATTTTTCAAACACATACGCATGACAAATAATGAAATACAAGTCTGTAAATTATGACAGGAAAAGATGGGTTATTGTACTGAATCGCTGAATCACTGGTTGACATCGAGTTAAGCCAATGGCTTCTTATGATGTATGGTCAATTGTCGATAAACTTCCGCTGGACACGACTTTCTTCCGGTTGTGCAAGCAGGTTAATTTTCAATAATTGTAATTATACAGAACGCTCATCTTACAGATTTCATACTACTCTACTCACTACGTATATACACATCATACATATAAACCTATTACACAGCCTGTGCCTGACTGACATTCATCCTTAAACCATACACCCATTTTGTGTGCAGCCATTCGTAAAAAAAAAAAAAAAAAAAAAAAAAAAAAAAGCCTTCGATAAAGTATTGCGCACTGACTTGTGGAACAAGGTTAATGAGTGGAATTAATGGGAAAAGTTTTTAAATTCTTTTTAACATGTATCAAGGCATTATATCAAATATACCTTTTAATGGTGAATGTTCTGGTTATTTTCCATGTGAAAATGGTTTTAGACAAGGAGAAAACCTATCTCCCTTTTTATTTTGTCTGTACTTGAACGATCTCGAAGAGTTTATGGTCCAAAATAACGTTCAGGGTTCGACAAACCTTATTACTAAATTAGAAAATGATTTACATGTTTACATAAAGCTTTTTATTTTACTCTATGCTGATGATCATTATTTTTCTCAGACTGGCCAGCTGACTTGCAACTACAATTAAGTGTATTCAGTGAATACTGTAAACAGTGGAAATTAAAGGTTAATATAGGAAAAAAGTGGACAATTTTACTTATTTGGGTACGGCATTTAGCCATACTGGTTCATTCAATGAAACGAAAAAATACAATATTAAAAAGGCTACTATAGAAATGTATGACGTTATAAAGAAAGATAGACTACATAACTTATCAGTTCAATGTATATATGATTTATTTGACAAGATTGTAAAATCCATACTGTTGTATGGTTGTGAAGTTTGGGGTCTTATAATTACTGACCTTAAGGTAACTGAACGTGTACATTTAAAGTTTTCTAAATTATTACTAGGGTTAAAAAGTAGCACTCCTAATTATATGGTCTATGGAGAACGAGGTACTAGCCCACTTGAAATAACAGTAAAAACAAGAATAATAACATATTGGTCACAATTGACTCATTCTAAAGAAAATAAAATAAATATTATATTGTATAAACTTCTTTGCCATCATCATGATGTTGATGATAAACCGATTCCATATATAAGCTTTATTTAACGTATTTTAAATGAATGTGGTATGAGTTACCTATGGAATGTCCAGTATACTGCAAAATGTTATACAACATGGCTAAAGCATGTTATTAAACAATTATTGTATGGCCAGTATTTACAGAAATGGCAGAGTGATGTACACACTTCATCAAAAGCTACATGTTATAGGATTTTTAAAAACAATTGTCATTTTGAAAATTACTTAGATATTTTAGTGATAAAAACAGTTACATTTTGTAAATTTAGGTCCACCAATCACACATTTATTGTTGAAACTGACAGATGGCATGATATTAATTATAATGAAAGAAAACGTCCACACTGTAACAGTCAGCAAATTGGTGACGAATTCCATTACTTCCCTGAGTGTCCGTCACTGTCTAGCTATAGAATTTTATATATACAGATACATATTTTTGGATGAGACCAAATGTAGTTAAGTTCTATGAATTAATGAATACTACTAATGAAAGCGTATCTTGGAGTGAATAAATATACTTCCAATACTGGTGTCCTTGGAGATTTTGGATGGTCATCTTGTCGGGCAAAACAACACAAAGAAGTTTTGAGACTTTACTGTAGACTACAAAATGTGGATACAGATAGGCTTCTACATAAGGTGTATATCTGGTCATCTAGGAGAAGGAACTCGTGGGAAGGGCGTGTCCGCAATTTAGGAAACAAACTTAAGGTATCAAATATACTTCACACTTGCGTATCTGTTAAAACCAAACTACGTATAATTACCGGTTCCATTAACAGGAATGACGAAACTTTTTGGTTCTCGAAATAATGGAACGACAAAATTTCAAGCAGTAAACTTAGAACACACAGAAACATTATATAACGTTACTTATCGGAGCCACCTCGCTAAACTCAGACTCGGTTGTCTCCCCTTAATGGTGGAAACTGGACGCTACAGTAACTTGCCAGTAGAGCAAAGGAAATGCCCCTTTTGCTTAAATATAGTGGAAGATGAGTCTCATTTCCTTTGTGACTGTCCTGTGTATAGTGATATCAGATAGGATCTATTCAAAAACGCAGTGAACTCCTTTAGGTATTTTAATGAACTTAGTTCAACTGAAAAGTTGTTTTATTTATTGCAGGATAATGCGCTTCAATTTTATGCTTCTACATATGGTGCATATCTAGATCTGTTCATCTAGGAGAAGGAACTCGTGGGAAGGGCGTGTCCGCAATTTAGGAAACAAACTTAAGGTATCAAATAAACTTTACACTCGCGTATCTGTTAATTAATGTGAATTTGTGTCTGCCCCATTGCAAGTTAAGTTCTGGGAGCTCGAGGAAGGTGTCATCATTATGTATTTTACTACCAATCCAGGATACCTGTATTTTGGATACATGAATTTTTAGACCAGAAATTTAATTAAGCATAGAAATTTAATTCATAAACAGATTCTTTAAGAGATCTTTCAGAGCCATCTAAAGCCAAAGAGGTATCATCAGGATATTGTGAGAGTAGAATTGGACAAATATTAACTTGAATATCTTTTATGTTCTTATTATTTCGTAATCGGTTTGCAAGTTCGTCCAATGCTGATTTCATGTGTTGACGAGCGATGTCAATAGAATGGTGACCTAAAATAAAAAAACCTTACCAAATATATCAAGGTTAAAAAGAAAAAATAGGAACTGCCGACAGTGTCAGAATTAAATGATGAAAACACACAGCTTGTTGTGAAATGAAGACATATAGGCATCACGTGACAGTTGTTAACGCGCGTAAAGGAACAGCCTATCTTTAATAATTATATTATCTAGGTCACAACATATGTTTGTATAGTACAGTGCAAAATAAATCTCGGAATTCAAAAATGTTGTAAAAGTAAATAACACTGGCCGCAAGCGTTCTTTCCAACATTTTCTCAACCTCGTCAGACGTCATCATCGGATACCCACAGTTGATTTCGCGTGATGATTGAGTACCGAAGCGAAATCAACCGTAGGTATCCAACGATGGTCATACGTCAGTTATTTCGTAATTGTATAGTGTACATGCACATTGATTGTGAGCTGCGATAACGTAGATTTCTGACGACGAGCGATTTTTTTTTATATATATATTGCGTTTATATATTGCGGCCGGGGCAGGGGAGGCCGGCAATGTGCTAAACATGATCACGATATATACATACACTGACAGCAATGGAGCAAGTTAAACTTTTGATGAAGTTTCACTTGCAGAAGTCACGTTGGGAGACATTCGAATTACTTGGCCTGACAAACTCCATTTCATGATTGCATGACGCGACTAAAAAATGGTCTCATCCAGATTCGGAAAAAAATTCCTTGCTCACCGAAGCTGATATGCTGTACCGATTGTAACAATTCTTAGAACTATTTTCCCTCTCACAAAATCTTTCTTTCCTACGCTGCTGGTTATCCTTAATTTCGTTAGCACAGAAACGTGAGTGTGCTTAGTTCTATGTTCAGGGACTGTGCAAGTGATGTGACACTAGAAGTAAAACAATATAAAAGTGCAAATGGCCATGGCCCCATCCCCTGTGGACAATGTCAGTATACATCTTCGCTCTATAACATCTAACTAATATTATTTACCTATGTAACAATTACGATTTGATAATCTAGTGCGAGTCAATTAACTGTGTAATAATTACTTGTACTAGTAGCATGTAACTATGGCAGTATTTTACGACTTACTTATATTTTCTTGTACATGTTTGTCGTTTCGACCCCCCGCTCCTTCCAACAATTACGATCTAAAATGTTCTTTTTCGACCTAGGGCATCATTTCAGAGTTTCTTTATAATTTTGATTAAATTTTAGCTCATTTCAATTTTTATTTTTATAATAATAAGCATTAAAAAACGTTTTCAGTGGGAGCTGTAAAATTATAATCCCTTCCAGTGTTACCGTGGCAGCAGCTATGCTTAGTGCAAAGCAAAATTGAGAGGTTCCAAAAAGTTGAACCGCAACCCTTACAAAAATATACGATGGTTTGAAATACGTGTTATAGGTTCAAAAGCTCTGGATTATATAATGGTTTTAAGAGCATATTCGAGAGTATTTTTTGAACGCTGTACGGCAAACTTAAACTAGAATCCAGGATGTTGTTTAAATTTTAAACAAAATGCAGAGATCTAAAAATCGAGAAATTAAGAAAGTTTTACCAACATTTTTTTTTTAATTTGCCTACCCCCCCCCCCCCCCCCCCCCCAAAAAAAAAAAAAAAATCCCATCCCTACAACAACAACAAAAATCTGTTTAAAGTTCTTAATGTTAAAATTAATAAAATAAGCATCTTTGATGTTGTAGAATTTTGATTAACAATCTTGAAATATCTCATCAACAAGATTTGCTTATTTCAATTATTACACGGACTTTGTATTCATGGCCGATACATCTATTTATTCATTCGTATATATTTTGTTTATTTACGTGTGCGTATGTTTTCAAAAACATCTGTTTCGTGTTTATTTAAATACACCCAAGCGACGGGTGTGGTTGTGTCGGTATTGTTTTAACCGTCGTCCCTGTCCTATAATCGCGGATCGTCCGTGTGATCTTTCCCGACACGCCCTTTATTAAATACTTTACAAAACAAACACAGGTAACATCGGTAGTGGTAATTATCCGGTTGTGTAAGCCTGGACGAGTGTTATCAGGACAGTGTTGTGATACTACTGTTTGTTTTAGCCCATCAAAGGAAATAGAACTATTACATGTATTATATATATGCAAATTATAGTCCTGCTATTGGTAAAAAAAAAAAAAAAATATCGAGCACAATTGTTTTTACAAAGACTGGTTAATAACATTACATGTCTGAAGATAGTAAATAGTGTGATTGTTCTTATAACGTGTCTAATAAAACATTTTGGCGGGACACATTTTATATTCAAAGGTATGATTGTATTGTGATTTTAAGAATACTATGAGTTTGACACAAAAATAAAATATTTGAACTTTGAACTTAAATAAAATAAAATGTAGATTTTTTTTGATTGATTTTAACATATTAATTTCCCCTTAGAGCAGAGGATAAGACACACGTTATATCAACTTATCAACGCCTTTTCCTTTAATACAGAGCATATTGATATACACATGATAGCATTTCACAAGGCATACATAATTTATTTTATATATATAATATTTTACTTAAAACCTGTTGAAGGATTTGATGAAAAGTTTCACGCGTCTGAATTCTTCTGTATTGGCATTTACGTACAGATTTTCATTACCAAAATAATAACAAATCTAAATTACCTGGGTTTAAATTCAACGAGTATATGCTTTGAAAAAGCATAATTAGTGCTGCGCTGCAACAAAAAGCCTACATTTTAAGAAAAAATAGCGAACACACATATATCACGGGAATGTCCAACAAATCGTTTTTCACTGACGCCTGGGTTTCGTACGTAATATATTGTATATTGCGTTTGTCAAATTTGTTTAAGGTGGTGGAGACGAATTTGCACCACTAGATACAGAAGATTTAAAAGTATTTAAAGACGGTAATATTCTTACTGTATTAGCAGCAAAGAGGAGTTGCTTGAGGAGAGTCTGAAAGAAAGAATATTATAATCCTATTGGTTCCGTAAATTGTACCGATTGTTGTTACCCACTGTGTATGGCACAATGACCAATAAGTAGTTGAGGGTTAAATTGTTTTTCAGTTTATATAAAATATTTAACTTTCGACCTTTTTTCCTCTCTGATAGTGTTTCTTGTCCCGTTTTGAAATATAATGAATCATTACTTGTATACGAAGGCAGTCCTGTTAAAAGTGTTAAAATGCAATCTAAATGTTCAAAATTGACATTATATTTTTTTGGAAGACTTTTTTTTACATTATTCTTCTAGTCAATTAAAATTAGAGGTCATAAACTTTCTTTATATATAACAAATTTTCACATTTCAGTATCACATCTGATACATTACAACAGCTAACCGACCAAACAAAATTACAAATGTATTTCAAGTGTAGTGGGATATCAGGTGATTTTTGCTGAGCACTGATACCGTATATGCATGTTGTTTTCTTTATTCATTTATTTATTCCCCTTTACATATATAAACCAAACAGGGCAATTTAAAAACTTGTGAAAAATTAACCTAATTATTTAAGATATGTCTTTTGAATTCAACATATTTTTTTTTATTTTTTTTTTTAAATCTTTGCACGTATTCTATAAAATGACGTAGAAATGAAACGGTTTCTCCTTTACCCTTGAGTGTTAATAAGATTTAGTGTCGATTAATGATTTTAATTTTAAGATTTGAATAAATTTGTAGTTTGAATATGTCTAAACATCGTAATGTTTTGAAATTGTAAACAAATATATATATTTTCCGTTTTGAGGGTAGTTTTGGATATAATTGTTAGGCTAATATTTAAAAGTTTACACAACTAATTAACTGCTATCATCGCTGAGGTAGTACTTCTATAGAGAACTGTCAGTTATTGCTGCTACAGAAATTACTCAACCTTTATTGGCCTAACGGGTCCAAGCCGTTAACGCAGATAGGTGATAAAATGAAAAAGCAAAACAACTCAACTGTCTCCAAAACACACATGACGTGAATTGATCATAACCCCACGTGATCAGTGGGGCGTGGCTACTGCAAGCCGACCCTGTACACCTGTACGACCCGGGGTTACAAGCGGGACATTGACTCGTCGTTAGGAAGGTGTGACAGTGACGCCCTGAGTAGATACCCTGTAATACCGGACACTTTAGAGTGAGGAGTATAATAGGTGACGATCACAACACACTTCAACCTTCGACCTCTCAACACGGACGTCGCGATTTATCTTCTGGTCATATTCACGTGTTTTGAAGATTTGTGTTAAAATATATCACATCGTTAAACATTATACACGTATACAGTTATTATCTACAAGGTGATAGTTAATTTAACAAGAATGTCTAAGTCCGAGTCTCGGGTACTGCTGCTGGAAAATGACCATTTGGAAATGGCAATGTCAGACCAGGAAAAAGACGGTAGGTGTCAAATTTCTAAATGGGACGTAAATAATTTTGCCGACTGACAAATTCATCAAATGAATTCAAATCCATGTATATTGTTTTTTCTCATAGCAGACTGATTTATCTAAAAAACATATATGATACTTACTCAGCGTCTACTTTATACTGTGTGAGTTAAATCATGTCGAGGGTTGAGCCGAAGCTGTCATGTTAAAATAAACGTTCTGTTTATCTTTACTCAATCGAAATGTAATCTTATAATTCCAAGATAATGTTTCTTTTGGATTTGTGATATTTATAAGATATCTGCCTTTCGCTCTTTGCAATTTTTTCCGCATAACAGAAAAAACCCGTTTGAAAGTTATATGAATAATCTATTTAAAAATTATAATTTAATGACCATTTTTAAAGCTTTTGCCTAAAATTCTTGTTTGGCGATATTTGTCGTCTCTTGACAACGATTTGTATCAAGTTGGACCCCCAAAGCAGTACCCGTATTTCTCCTTGAATCTTTATTTCACTATATCAACTGTTAAATATTGGAACACCAAACACAAGGTGCAATTATTTCCATGTATCAAATATGAACTACAATGATGTGATATTGTAATTCGCGGAAACAGAAAAACCCCGCTTGTTTGATATTTATATTTTAGTTTAGTAGATAAGTAAGGATTTATTTTTATTAATTTCTCTTGATTGCAAATGTGTAGTTTAAAGCAATTACGATTGAATAAAAAAAACATTATTTAAAAAACATTGTATCCTGTAATAGCTTTTGCTATACGCACAGTTTATTGGACAAAACAGAATGGAATCCATATTTTATGAGGATATAGTTTGAGAAAGATACGGAAAAACTACATCTAAAATCATTGCAAAAATACACCAAAAAAATGTACTTTAAACGCTATAACTTATCACTTTTGCTTTTTTTTCAGGATTTTCATCGGGGTACGACTCGGCGCAGGAGGTCTCCGATACGGAAACAAGCCTGTTAAAAGTACAGCAGCCCTACTTAACATGTGACTCCCAATGCGACAGTGAGTCTGAAGACGAGGCTACAGAGGTCATGAGTTATAAAAGCACCAAGGCCCTCTGTGAACATCTCAAATATATCGTTTCCATGCCCGAGTTATGTGACGTCACGTTTTTGGTTGGCCCCACAAAGGTTCCGGTTTATGGCGTAAAGGCAATTCTGGGCACCAGAAGCAGGTAAGAGCATGTTGATAAAATACCTTCATTATGATTCTATTTAATTGTTCTGAAATACATGTATGTTATACATAAAGTCTTGCATCAGCAAACCGTAAATATTTGGAAATGAAAGTCAAATTATAATAAGCTTGATATTAAGTGATATTTATCAGACAACCATTTGACAAGCCTGCATGGTTCCTAGGCATAATTTTTCGAAAGGAACAAACCTGGACTCTCTTTGAAATCACACTTAAGCCGCTTTAGCAGTGCAATTCTTTAATCTATAAAATGTTTTGCTACCACTATTACATATATCTGAATAGGACTTCAAAATCATGTTCGTTTCAACTAACCAACAACTTCGCCACTATTCCAGGGTTTTATATCAACTTATTTTGAATCAACAACATCAAGCGGAAGCGGAAAGATCGACATTTAAGAAGTTCCGGAAGTCATCCTCAAAATCGCGTGTCGTCATAGAAGTGAACAAGTACGAGCCAGAGGACTTCCGAATGTTAATGCAATTTGTTCATTGTGGATCTGTGGACATAGGAATACACAATGTGGCGGGTTAGTATTATTTATTTAGGTTATATTTTAATTTAATATTTCCAAATAATAACACAAATCAAATACATATGATTGTTTCGGTCGACTATATATGGTGCTCTCGAAGACCCGGCTATCTAAGACATATGGTACCTCATAAATGGTAAATATTTGGATAATATGACCATGTAAACGTTTTCTTATGAGCTATTCTACAGAATAATTAAAATCTAGCTTATTACAGTATTTAAACGAAATTATTTGCAAATTTATGCATAAATGAATAGTGTATATTTTATAAAACATTAATTAAATTATTTTGAACGATAAAGATGTGACATATAAACTTTGAGATATTGAAACTAATAACATTCATTGACACTATACAGGTTTGTTGTGCGGGGCATATCAGTTTGGTTTGGAGGACCTGCGGTCAGCCTGCTGGGATTTCGTTCGCCGATCGCTCGACAGTGCTTCCGGGCAGGATACAGCGCATGCGTTGATGGCATCAGCCTTCCGGTACAACCATCACAAGACAACAAGGAAGCTTGTCTCAAAGGTACAAATGACTATAATCTGTAAACATTGAGTACCTTTCCTCGTCTTGGTAAACGTCAAGATGCCATTAATTCAATATCATGTTACAATGTATTTGATTTAATTTGATAGGATTGGATGATTTAAATTCTTTTTCTTTATAACATGAACACATTGGATAAATATATATTTCTTACCTTTTGTTTTATAGATCAACAAGGTGCTACAAGAAACAGAACACAAGAAAAAAGACCATTTTCACGACCAGCAATCCAATGGTTCAAAGAAAACCTCAAAGATGTCAACAACAGTATAGATAGCAACGGAAGTGACGTCATAACAGTGATGTCGCTATAACGTTAAGTGCTCAATACCTTTCGGATGGTAAAAGATATTGTATTTATTTAAATATATATGTAACTGAATTTAACAAGAGGGATGATAATTTTGTTCCTATCTGGAGTGCTCAAAAATAGTGACACGTGCTTTATCAAACAATTGGCCAGTTTCGGAACAGTGAATAGCCTATGCTGGATGGAGTATTTACGATTGGCAATGCCGAACTTGATGTTCAGAAAATGTCATAGCATTTCGTTCTGTTATTATTTCCAAATTAGAAAAATATGTTATTGAAAAGTGTTAATGATTCATAAATATCAAATATCATTTGTTATGAAATGGAATGTTGTTAATTTTAATACATGTATACTGTGATGTTGGTGGAGAGAGAAGTTTGTCAGTATGGAAGTGATGACAGTGTGGGCAGTGAGTAGTGACAACACTAGTGTGATGGTGAGGATAGACAAAAGGACGAGAAGGAGAGAGAGAGAGAATCTAATGAAAAAACGAGTATGAGAGTAATTATAGTACGACAAATCTTGTAATTCACTTTCGTAATGTATTGTAATTTAATGTGTATTTTCAATAAATATTTATTTTAATATTTCCATTTTATTTCGTTTTTTATATAGCGATACGTGAATTTGATGTCTCGTGATTGTGACGTCGTTACCATCATGGCGAGACAAATGTCTATTTACCTGTCGTGTGGTACCAACTGCATTTGAGTAACAACTTGCTACTGTTACGTCATTTATTTGTAGTCACATGTGTTATTGGTTAAATCCCCATCACACCATAAATCTACGACTTGAATCACGCAATGGTGTAGTCTTGCTAAAGTTCTTGTAGTAAACTCGGTCGAATGTGATATTATTGTATATCAAAGATGGACCAATTGAGCATCCGTGGATGCCATGGAAATGTGTTTGTTCAGAGAGTGTCTTTTATGAAAGCTTTTAGGATCATTATGCATCAATTGTTCTCGCTAAAACAGCGAAACTATTCGGTTTTAGTTTGAAAGTCATTTCACCAAGATTCTTTACCGCAATCTTTGATACTCAAGTGGTTTTAAAAGCTCTCTTTCGCTCTCTGCACCCCTGGAATATGTCATAGCAAAATCGAAGGCTAAGTGTGCGCCACCTTGTGAATGAGACAGTGAGACTAGTTTGATCTTTTAATGTACATCAAAAGAATCTCGCGGTAGCGTAATGGTAAAATTGACTAGCTTTGGTGGCGTGTTTCTTCTCGGTGATCTTCAAAATGCAAGGACCTGCCTAACGATTGGTCAGGTATTTTACCCGTGACCAATCAAACAGCCAGCCTTCGATATTCTGCTCTGACATATTCTAGAGATGCAGAGAGTGTAAGTGAGTGTAACCACTGGAGTATCGAGGATGTTTTGTCACAGACGACTTACGCAGTGACCACAAGTTACAAATATGTTTATTAACAGGTTACAGCGGGGTCAGGATAGTGTTGATCATGTGGATGACACCATTGGTCATCGGTTGGTCAGCTTTCAGGACCAAAGCGTTGTTGATGTGGACACCTGTCAACAGAAGGGTCAGTCAGATAACGCTGAACAACGCTAGACAACGCGTGTCTAGTATAAAACACACGCTTATATTAACTGAACGTTTATTACACGAGGAACTCTATGATTAACAAATGATATGTAATTGATACCATAGACACACAAATAACTATTATTAAAAGGCCAAAAACAATTTGCTTGTTTCAGGTAACATGCCTGAAAAAATAGGATGTGTCGCTAGGGAAATAATTTTATTTTAATGCTATCTTTGTATTTCCTTGAATTAATATTACGCTTTATTTCAAATTTTACAATGCATTTCCACACATTACAATGGCTATTAAATTGTCAAGAATAAGGTCAGACTCCCAGAACCGGAAGAAAGTACATTTTAATGAGTGGCTGTGAACTTTGCCTGGCTAATGAATTAATCTTAGATACAAGTTTTGTAGATAATACAAATTCTAGTAAAATCTAGGGTAGGTCGGATTACCTGAAACACACCTTTTCGGCCTAACAATAATAAAATCAAGATAAAATAAAACATACATATACATGACTACAGTGATATTGAATATCGGTACCTTCCGAAGAGCCAATTTAGGCATATCCGTAAAATAATTGTCATCAATGAAAATGCGTCACATCAATAACAGTCAATGTTATCAATAACAATAAGATGATAATCCGTGCTTATAACCCTAGTTTTGAATAACAAGAAGCCCAATGGGCCAACAGATGCTTATATGATTCAAGGTGGCGTTTTAAGTAAGTTTCTAGTAAGTAGGATTAATATTATTACTCTATATAATATAATTATAATTGTCTTTGAGCATTTAAACAATTTTGATCCATGTTACTTTGACTATGAGGCAAGGTTAATCCTTTTCAATAATTTTTAGCATTAAACTTAATCAAGCTTTTTGCCAAATCTTCAAGAACGCCATTTGGGTGTTTCAACTTTAATGGCTGTGACCTTGAATATTGGGCGAGGGAAATTCCTTTTTAAAACCTTCATAAGATTGCAAATAAGCAAAATACTTGCCAAACATGACGACTTCACACGTTTTAGGTATCAAGAAATAGTCGTATGAGTAATTTATCAAATTTGAGTCATGTGAGCTTAAATGAAGGTAAAGGCTCTTCCTTTTAACACACTCTGTAGCACTCTATGCCTGCATTGTACTCACCAGGTGTCATGTCGCTAGGGATTTTGTTTCTTTAACAAAAAATGACCTGTGTGACCTTAGATAAAGGTCAAGTTCGTATCTTTTCACCAAGTTGTGGCATTCTTTGTCAGCAAGCAGTATGTCAAGGACCATGACTCTTAACCCTTCGGTTTCTTAGAAATCCCTTGAGCGTTTTCAGTTTTGATACCTGTCACCCTGGTAATTGGTCAATGTCATTTGACGTTTAATGTTTTAGAGATTTTTTCATGTAAATATTGTATATATTGCAAAGCGCCCCCTAGCAGCCTATATATAAACAGATTTGGTATCAAGAGTGCTACATTATGAATATTTATAAGATCAAACATGTGGTTTGTTACAAGAGGGCCGTTACAGAAGGCATCTTTTAGGTTCCTCAAATTTGACATTTTCCCCCCTTAATGGACCTCCTGAACCTAGTTTCTTTTATTTTCAAATCTGAATCAACGTCATCTATGAATATTTCCCTCTAAATTGAGGAAGCATGAAAGAGAATGTCTAATGACGTACGACAGACGACGGACAGCAACGGATTGCAATGGAGCATTTGTGCTAAACAATCCTTGTTTACAATAACTATTTGTGTTTTCAGTAACGAATCGTGTTCTCAATCTAACAATTCGTGTTTTCAATAACCGTTCGTATTTTCAATAACTATATGTATTTTCAATCACCTTTTCGTGTTTTCAATAGCTATTCGTGTTTACAGTAATTATTCGTGATTTCAATAACTATTTGTTGTTACAGTAGCAATTCGTGTTCTCAGTAACCCATGTAATAGCCATGTTGTTAAATGTTATCGACAACCAAAAGTAAGTGATGTGTCGTGTAGAACCCCCCC